CAGCAGAGGTCAGCCAATCAGGTCGCTCCTCCTTGTGTTTGGTCAGTGTTAGTATGCAGAGCAGTGTGTGTGTTTAATGTGTGAGTGTTTGAGTGTGTTTGAATATAAAGAGATTTTCTGGAACCTTCCGGAAACAGCAGATTCAGCAGTTTGCTGCACCCTCCAACAGTCTGCAGCGCGTTCAGACCCCAAACCAGTCCACCAGTACGTTTACTGAAGTCCTCCGGTCTAAACCGGCTTCATCAGTCTTCTTCTTTTTAGTGATCAACAGACGGAGTTACTCCTCATGATAAGATTTTATTTTGAAAACAGGAAGTGTTCACATCGTTTAGTTTGATAACAAGACTTCCTTCAGCGTCTCGTGGGGGCAGAGCTTAATATTCTGGATCATCAAGTGTTGTGTTAGTGGACTGGTTGATGGTAAAGTTGGTGGATTCATTCGTGTTCTTCTTGTTGTACTGTGGTTAAATTGGTAACCTGGTTGGTGGTCAGGTTGGTGAACTTGTTGGTGGTGGTGTTGATGGACTAGTTGGTGGTGGTGTTGATGGACTGGTTGGTGGTGGTGGTGATGGACTGGTTGGTGGTGGTGTTGATGGACTGGTTGGTGGACTAGTTGATGGTTATATAAGTTGTCTTGTTTTCAGTCTTGTTGGTCTTCATGTTAATTGACTGATTGGTTGTTGTGTTACTTCTCGTTTTGTTAAGTTTAGTTTGTGACGGATTAGTGGACTAGTACATGGACTGGTTGCTGGTCCTTTTGGTTGACTGGACGGTGGTCTTGTTGATGGACGGCTTGGTGGTTGTTTTGGTTGTCTTATTTATGTCTATGTTGGTGGACTGGTTGATGGTTGTGTAGGTTGTCTTGTTTTTGCTCATGTTGGTGTTGATAGACTGATTGGAGGACTTGTGGGTTGACTGCTTGGTGGACTAGTTTTTGGAGGCTTCAGCTCATGTTACCTGTATGTTTTCCAGGTGGACTCGTCCTCTTGTCTCCCTCTGAGTATAAACTGTGGCCCTCTAAGTATGTGTTACGTATGCAGGTTGAAGGTCTGTAACTTCACACAGAGACAAGTTTATGTTTGTTATGAAGATACTCGATCACACGCAAACACTGGACTTCCTGCAGCTTTTCAAAATTGAAGGTACCCGACTGTTGAACAGACACTGGAACATGTGGACGGATAAACAGAGCTGAAATAAAATGTTTTAATAAAGTGAACACTCGGGGGGGGGGGGGGGGGGGGGGCGGGAACTGTCACTCTTTGCAGGCGATGTGATTCTGTTGCTTTCAAATCAAGAACAGGGAAGGTTTTAGTGCGTGTTAAAAAGAGTCCAGTCCTTCAGGGGGGAAGTCTGTTTTGGTCTCTCTTGTTCTTTAGTTGGTGTTTCGTTGTTTCTCGGTTTGAAGTATCTCTGTGTTTGGTGTTTCGTAACGTTTGTTCCTCACTGGTTTGATAAAGATGATTTCAGAGCTGCCATCAGTCTGTCAATGACTTTCTTTAAAGTGATGCTCTGACCGACTTGTTGAAAGTTGTCAAAGTTAGATTTTAATTTGAAGTTTTTTGGGAACATTAAGTCAGAGCGGCTTCATCACATTTGTCTCAAAAATCCTCTGAAATTAAAGAGAGCAGAGTTTCAGCTTCAAACACGAGAGTTTAAAAGAAGAACCTTAAATCAACACGGGAACTAAAAGGCACACTGATCTTTATTAGAGATGGGGGGGGGGATCCTCCAGTGCAGAGACTGAGGCCTGGACTAGAAGAGAAGACGGGTCGTCAGAATTTAGGATAATTTTTTTTAATACAATACAATCTGTGATTTTAATCATTATCAGTACAGAAAACTTCAGAAGTTTAAAAGAAAACACAAAATCTTCAGTTTGAACCAATAGAAAGAGAGCAATGTCTAAACTGCTCAAATCGATGATTACGTTAGACAAGAGGAGCGTCTTGTGCATCGTATAAAGTGAGCGGGGGGGAGGGGTGGGGTCTCTGCTGTTTTTTAAATTTTAAATCAAATGACCAAACACTTGGCGGAGAGGGCTTCTATATTTGTTGCCGTGGTAACAAACGGGTATTGATATGGTATGATTTTTAATAGAATCATATTGTATATATCATATTTTATATTTTAAACTCTCAGAGCAGCAGTTTCTTCTTTTCTTGACCTCAGAGAGTCAAAGTGTTCAAACTCGGATTAAAGTGTAAAATAAAGGGACTCGGTTCACTCTTATTAAACAGTTCAGTCATTTTAATCTGTCTCTATATGTCAGCCCTGTGATTGGCTGGAGACCAGTCCAGTGTGTAACCCCGCCTCTCGCCCAATGACGGCTGGGATTGGCTCCAGTCCCCCGTGATCCCGAACGTGAGAAGTGGTATAGATGATGGATGGATCTTAAAAACAGGAAAAACTCCATAAAAACATAAAAACAGTTTGAGGACTGAACCTTAAATAAAGTCATGACAGGAAGAGTTGGAGGGATTTAACTCCAGACATGAAATATAATATCACTGTAGTCATTTTATTTTATATCAGGACAGAAAAGACAAATGATGACATGAATTAAAAGACATGATGGAAGTACGGATCAGAAGAACATCAACAAATCAGCTGATTGGTTTAACAGACGTTTAAGAAACATCAAACATGAAGTTAGGAAAATACTGCGACTTCATTTCAGAGAGAGGTTCATCTTTGTGTTCAGAAGAAGAACACAGAAAACACTCAGCTCAGCGATGTAGAAAAAGATGGAGATGAAGAGTGGATTAGATGACGGCTCGCAGGCTCCCCGTCCCGACCTTCTTCCTCAACACCTCAACGAGACGCTCCAACCTGAGGACGAGAGACAAGACGGTTCAGTCTGATTGGATGTAAAGAGAGTTTGTTCAGACCCTCCAACAGCCTGCAGCAACAGACACAGTTATTCCACACATTAAGGTTTTATTTTGAAAACAGGAAGTGTTCACATCCTTTGGTTTGATGCTGTTAGATCACAAGACTCCCTTCAGCATCTCATGAGGGGGCGGAGCTTAATATTCTGCATCATGGAGTGTTGTGTAGGTGGACTGGTTGGACCCTGCTCCTACCTGTCCATTTCATCTGTTTCTAAAATCATTTATATCCACAATGCTTTGCTGTCTGCCTACACTGATGTTTCTTCTGACACTATCTGTACCTGTGATGGCGACTTCAGTGCTCACCTGGAGGACACAAGTTAGTCCACTCCTTTACTTTGAGCTCTTGTTTCTTCCTGTTTCAGGTTTCTACACGCACAGACTCTCCAGGTTTCCTGACGCTGCCGTGGACGAGAATCTCCTGCAGTGACCACGTTTTAGTTTTTAACTGGTTAAGAAACAAACTGAAATAAAATGCTGACGCCTCAAAGAGCCAATCAGACAATCAGAGAGAAGTTTTCCTTGTGTTTGAATCATTCGGCCTCTCTCTGCAGTCACAGCGTCGGCGTCTGTTTCAACGGGAGTCTCACAATGACCATTAGCTAAGAACAAGCATCACTCTGTCCACAGGGGGCGCTACACAGACTCAAAGTTCCTCCGAGGAGATGTGAGTGGAGAAAGTTTGAGAGTCTGTCAGACGGACTCTGAATAAATGACCAGGCTGACAGGAGAGAGAGAGAGAGAGAGCGAGAGAGAGAGAGAGAGAGAGAGAGAGAGAGAGAGAGAGAGAGAGAGAGAGAGAGAGAGAGAGAGAGAAAGAGAGAGAGAGAGAGAGAGAGAGAGAGCGAGAGAGAGAGAGAGAGAGAGAGAGAGAGAGAGAGAGAGAGCACCACTAAAGAAGAAAGAACTAAATGACCCTGATGACTTTCTAACATCACTGAAGCTCGCTCGTTCACTCACCCTTTCTCTCTCTCTCTCCCTTCAAACCAAATTAAACTTCTCTCCGTCTCTAATAACCAGCAGATTTCTGCCCCCCCCCCACCCTCCCCTCCAGAGAGCAAATATTCAATTCTTCACATTCACAAACTCCGGAGGCCCTTCAGAGCGGGCCGCCCCCCCGCTGGCTGCCAAATTAGAGCAGAAAGCCGCGGGTTTGAGCCCAGGAGGACGGTGTGGGACGCAGACGGACGACTTAAGCTGTTTTCATCATGAATCTCATCCCTTCATCTTCAGCCTGATGAGATGAGGAGCAGCAGAAGAAGAAGTCACGTTATGCAGCATGCGAGCGTCATCCCGTAGCAGCAGAAATCTGAAGGATTAATTCTTCCTGATCGGCTCGCCGGCAGAGACACTCACTCTGATGTCCGCTGAATATGAATCATCCAACCAAATCTCTTTAGTCCCACACGCTTAACCAGTCTTTGAACACATCTCAGCGCCTCTGCTGACTGCTGTTAGAAACAGAAACATGTTCCTGAAGACGGGAAGAGCTCGGAGCGTCCGTCACTGAGCTGCCTCACTCATTAACAACACCTGAAGAGTGAAACCTGTGAGGGCCAATCAGAATAAACTATTCAACCTAGACAGTTTAGTGACCTCACGGGGGTCAAAGTGTCCAATAATGTGCAGGAGGAGGGATTATAATAGTGTGTGTGTGTGTGTGTGTGTGTGTGTGTGTGTGAACCAACATGTCAGCAGGCCTGTTCAAGGTCACAGGATGTATGTCCACACACACACACACACACACACACACACACACACACACACACACACACACACACACACACACACACACACACACACACACACACACACACACACACACACACACACACACACACACACACACTGACATCACCCGTTCAGCTGTTTGTGTTGATATGATGATCGATGGGGACTGAAGAGATGGATCATATGAGAACATGTAAAGGTCGATGAATAAAGAGTGCGTGCGTCTGTAGCGTGGTCATCTCTGACCCGTCATGCACATGAAACCATCAGCTGACTGCTCTCTCACTGCGGAGCGTCTGACAGCTGCACGAGACAATTAAAGTCACTTTTAATTCATCAATCAGAGCGCCGAGGAGCTCACTTCCTGTTCCTGCGTTTTTTTTAAATACAACAGTTAATAAACATCATTCTTTCAAAATAAAAGCCCTGAGCATTAATCAAGCAGCCTGCTTTAGAGTTCTCTGGGACTGTTAATGCCTTTGTTTAGAGACTGGTCAGTGGAGAGAGTCAGAAGAGTTCCTCCTGACGGGAGAACTAAACGCTACAGGAACGCTTTGGAACCTGCAGCACGACTCAACAGAGCCAGTGCGAGACGATGCACTTTAACCATGTCAGGTTATCTTAACTCAAGAACACCTTTTGAAGGTCTCGTCTCGTCTTGGAATCAAAATAATTTTTACTCAGTCTCAGGATTTAAAATCAAGACCGGTCAAGACAACCACTTATCGGTTATTTTCACAGTCATCACTGTGATTAGAAGGAAAACGTGTCTTTCCAAAAGAACAAATAACATTGATTATGGCCACAACCTTCCCGGTGTCACGGTCTACGTGAGGGACACGCCCCCTAACCACAAGATGATGATTTTTCTGGTCTCGGGTGCATCTTGGTCTCTGTAGTGTGGTTTTGACTACAACACTAGTGAGAACTTGTTATGATCTGCTGTCATCGAGCATGTCATCTGCTGTCATGACCTGAGTTGGATGAATCTCTGGAATGCTGAATCTCTGCTCGACACATTCACCTTTTTAGACATGATAAAGAAACCTTGAACCTCGAGCCGCCAGTTTGGAGGACCACAGCCTCTGTACATGTGGCGCGTGCACTATCCACTGGGCCAGCGCCCCACATTATGTATCTGCCAGATCACTTGTTGTTTAAAGAAAAGACCCTGATGAACTTCCTGTGATCAGGAGTTCCAATCAGGAGACACAAACCTCCTGATGTAAAGTATAAAAACGTGTTGACAGAATGTAAAGGTAAATTCTGACCTGCGGACTCTCTCGCTGGCCTCTCGCTCTGCCTCCTGACAGCGCTGTAGTTCCGCCTCCACGCTCTGCTTCTCCCTCGACAGCTGCTGCACCTGGACCAGCAGGGGCGGGCCTGAGAGAGCGGGGCCTCATGAGCTTCCGTTGAGACACCGTCAATGGGTAACGAGGGAGGAGGTGAGAGGAGGTCCTGAGAGCTGAGAGAGGAGAAGGACAGAGGACACAGAGGAGGAGGAGGACACAGGGGAGGAGGACAGAGGACACAGAGGAGGAGGACAGAGGAGGAGGACACAGAGGAGGAGGACAGAGGAGGAGGACAGAGGAGGAGGACACAGAGGAGGAGGACAGAGGACACAGTACACAGAGGAGGAGGACACAGAGGAGAAGGACAGAGGACACAGTACACAGAGGAGGAGGACAGAGGAGGAGGACAGAGGACACAGTACACACAGGAGGAGGACACAGGAGGAGGACAGAGGAGGAGGACAGAGGAGGAGGACACAGATGAGGAGGACAGAGGACACAGTACACAGAGGAGGAGGACAGAGGAGGAGGACAGAGGAGGAGGACACAGATGAGGAGGACAGAGGACACAGTACACAGAGGAGGAGGAGGACACAGAGGAGGAGGACAGAGGAGGAGGACACAGATGAGGAGGACAGAGGAGGGCAGAGGAGGGCAGAGGAGAAGGATAGATGACACAGAGGAGGAGAATAGATGAGGAGGATATAGAGGAGGAGGACAGAGGACACAGTACACAGAGGAGGAGGAGAGAGGACACAGAGGAGGAGGACACAGAGTTATCAGTGTGAGATCTGACCTGAGAGCAGTTCAGTGACGAGCTGATCAATAATCAATCAAAGGAGGTGTTGAGAGCTCGTTAAGGTAAACAAGAAGACGGACAGCAGAGGACAGAATGAGGGACAGGGTCACCAGTTTAACCAGTTACACCAGTTCTACCTCTGACATTCGAGGGCAAGAACATTAAACCTGCTTTCTGACTGGACCCCACGTTTCCACGGAAACCAAGGTGTAAACCTGTGGTTGCTGACATCATCACTGATTGTTTATATTCAGACTCTTAAAGTTTCATCAACCTGCTGCTATGTGTGTGTGTGTGTGTGGGTGTGTGTGAACCATTGTGGTCCGCTGAGCTCTTAAACCAACAAGCAGCAGGTCAGAGGTCAGAGGTCAGAGGTCAGAGGGGTCAGTCTTGTTCCTGCTCTGCATCAAATAAAGTTGTATTCAAATAGAAGACAAACATGTGTTCCACAGCTGTTCACCTGACGACCATCAGACACCCACGCCATGACCACGACCAGATAACCAACTAATCTGATCTATAAACAGGTATAAACATGGTTTACTTGAATCCTGTAAGACTTTAAAGTTCTGGTTTGGTTACTAACCTACATCCTCACACACACACAAGTGAAACATCTCTCTGAGAGTTAGAGACAAACAACAGGAGATATGAGGTTTTATTGCCCCCCCAAAAAACCCCTGAAATCAACCAACCCCCCCCCCACCTGCTGATCCTCCCTCCTCTGAGTCTCTGCAGGCGTTCAGCTTCATCCTGATGATGTATGGAGACTCACAGTGTATGAGCACAGGCAAACAGCAGGACTCACATGCGTGCTGCTCGGTTTTTTCAACCTGTCTCACAGTCTGCTGATTTCAAGCACATAATATCAAACCACACAGGAAGCGTGTGTGTGTGTGTGTGTGTGTGTGTGTGTGTGTGTGTGTGTGTGTGTGTGTGTGTGTGTGTGTGTGTGTGTGTGTGTGTGTGTGTGTGTGTGTGTGTGCATCAGCAGCATATAAAGATACAGAGAAGGGTTAGTGATGTCACAGCAGCTTCTGGAGACAGAACAAGCGTCTAGTCCTTTAGCCACTACCACTAGTCCACATACCACAGCTAACTAGTCTCCAGACCTCTGGAAAAAGTCCCCTCAGGTCTGGAACTAGTTCACATACCTAACAAAGACCTCTAATACTAGCTCCTGCACCTCTGGACGACCTACTGAACGAGTCCCAAGAACTCTGCAGCCCATCTAAAAATCTGCAGAGCAAATAACCTTACCTGTGATTGGCTTGTAGCACCTGTAGCCCCGCCTCCAGCCACTTCCTGTCCTCCAGAGCCCCGCCTCTTTCTCTCTGAAGCCTCAGCAGCTCCTCCTGATTGGATAAAACAAACATCAATCACACACTACCCTCTGGGAGAAAAGGTCAAATGCAGAGCAGATATAAAACTGATGATGATGATGTCAGTCATTTTAATCGATAATCAATCCTCCTGATTGATGGAATGAATCATCAGTTCAGCCTATGTGTGTTTGTGTTCTGCACATGTGCAGAGCGAGATCAGGAAGTTGACGTCAGAGTCACTCTGTTTAAATAAATGATTAATTGAATAATGGACTCATTAACCAACACGAGTGTCAACACACTTCATAATGAGGAATTCATTTTGATCAGCCTGTCATAATAACAGCACGCCATCACAGAGTGAGGCTCCAGGTGCATTCTGGGAAAGAAACTGAGAGGACGGATAATAGAGACGAACATGATCTTAAGAAGAGACGAAAAACTTCAGTCTCCAGGATTCAACATCCCATAAAGTCTAAATATGATGAGACAGATGAGTTGAATTAAAATGAGCTTTAGAGACCAAAACATGGGGCTCTATGGGGACTGACTCACTGCAGGAGACAGACTCTAGTGGACACTGGAGGAACTGCAGCTGTAAAGGTGGACATTTTAACAACAACTAACCCCCATCACCTCCTCACCCCTACCTCCCCCCTCCTCTCAGAGCTGATTGAACCTGCAGGCCGACAGCTACAGGACAGAGTGTCTCTGGTCAAAAAGTGTGGAGGTTGACTCCTGCAGTGACAGACCTGTTCCTGACCTCCTCCTGCCCCTCCTCTTCTTAATGTTAATTAAAGCCCTGAAGGTCTGCAGGTTTAAAGTGAGACATCAAAAGAGAAGCCAAACCCAGAGAGTCAATATGTGACTTCTCCAGCCGGGCCGGAGGAGACGCTTCAAAAGAGCCGCCGACTTATTAATCAGAATAATTTCCAAATGAGACGATCAGCACGCAGCGGCAACGCCAGCTGACCTTTCACATGAGGAGTTAAGGTCAACCTGAGAGGGAGGAGGAGAGGGAGGAGGTAATAAAACTAACCTGACCCGGGTCGTTCAGGATGAAGAAGGGAGGGAGAGAGAAGGAGAGAGAGGGTGAGGAGGGTGAGGAAATTAAGCTTTAATTAGCATAGAGGACTACCAGGATGGAAGGGGCGGCGTCCTTCAGCATGAGGAGGTGAGAGGAGGAGAGAAGTAAATGAGGAGTCGACTCTGACCTTTAACATCAGGAGTTAAAGGGCCAGTTCACAACAAATTGGGCCCCAAATTCAGCCCACCGTCAGCTGTTTGAAGTCAGAATGTTTGATGAGCTCTGTGATCGTTTCACTCAGACTGTCCTTCCAAAAATCAACCTTTATGGTCAGAGAGTTTACATAGGAAGTAAAGATATCACTCTGTCCTTCAGAGCCTGTCAGGGTCTAAGCCTCATGGGAAGTGGAGTTTTTTAAAAGGCAGCTAAAAAAAGAAACCGTAAACATGTAAAGATCTTCAGGCTCAACATCAGCAGGTCTCTTCTGATGAGCTTCTTTTTACTGGTTGTTTTTTTAAGGTGTTCTTTAAGGATCTGATGGAGGGCCCCATCTTTAAATTTTACTCTAAAGTCCTGGTTTTAGTCCAGGGCTCTCTCCTGCAGCTCTCAGACAGTCTGCTGGTTAATTTCTGGGCAGCTGTTGGAGTTTCTGTTGGAAATTAAAATCGTCTCCAGGCTCTAATCCTCCCGAGCCCTCCAGCCTCATTAACAGATTCAGAGAGAGCGAGTGTTACATTAATAACAAAATTTAATAAATCTGATCCGAGCAGAGCGAGCTGAAACAGAGCAGCAAGTTGAACAGAGCAGCGAGTTGAAGACAGAGCAGAGAGATGAAGACAGAGCAGCGAGATGAAGACAGAGCAGAAAGATGAAGACAGAGCAGCGAGATGAAGACAGAGCAGAGAGATGAAGACAGAGCAGAGAGATGAAGACAGAGCGAGCTGAAACAGAGCAGCGAGATGAAGACAGAGCAGAGAGATGAAGACATTGCGAGCTGAAACAGAGCAGCGAGATGAAGACAGAGCAGAGAGATGAAGACAGAGCAGAGAGATGAAGACAGAGCAGCGAGATGAAGACAGAGCAGCGAGATGAAGACAGAGCAGCGAGATGAAGACAGAGCAGCGAGATGAAGACAGAGATGAAGACAGAGCAGCGAGATGAAGACAGAGCAGAGAGATGAAGACAGAGCAGAGTTGAAAACAGAGCAGAGAGATAAAGACAAAGATGAAGACAGAGCAGAGAGTTGAAGACAGAGCAGAGAGATGAAGACAGAGCAGAGAGATGAAGACAGAGCAGAGAGATGAAGACAGAGCAGAGAGTTGAAGACAGAGCAGAGAGATGAAGACAGAGCAGAGATGAAGACAGAGATGAAGACAGAGCAGATTTGAAGACAGAGCAGAGAGATGAGGACAGAGCAGAGTCTGAACCTAAATGTGATGATCATCGCTAATGGATTATTAATATCACCCCGAGCAGAAGAGAAGAGATGTTATGACAGTTTGAATCATTGTCACTTAAAGGCGCTCCGAACAGATGCTCTGAGGAATTAAACGACTGAACCTGTCACTGCCTACCTGCTAAGAGGTGACTCTCTTCAAAAAAAGAGACCTATTATTGAAAATGATGTACACCAGTAGGTCTCTAACTTGAATTAAAAAGAAAATATACTTTTCTGTATTTTTATTTGAACATGTATTAATATTACTCTGAGACACACACACACACACACACACACACACACACATATACACACACACACAAACGCAGGCGCACACACACACACACAAACACAGCGACCCTGTTTGAATAACAAGTTGTTGGCAAACAAGCTGCAGTGTCCCCACGGTAGGTTGTCATGACAACAGAGCAGACATCCCATCATCACCATTCAACACAGAGAGCAGCACTTGGTATGCAGAGTGTGTGTGTGTGTGTGTGTGTGTGTACCTCGCTCGCCCTCTGTACTCTTTCCTGGATCAGATCCTGTTCCAGACGTTTACACTGCGGAGACACAAAACGGATTATCAAATCCGGTCAGCTGACAGCAAGTCACACCTGCAGGCAGGAAGTCACACCTGCTGACAGGAAGTCACACCTGCTGACAGGAAGTCATACCTGCTGACTGGAAGTCACACCTGCAGACTGGAAGTCACACCTGCAGACAGGGGCTGTATCCGAATTGCCAAGTACCTACTCAATCTGTCAGTAGGCAGTAGACAGTACCTACTATCCGTGCTGTACACTGTTTAGTACCTACTATTCAGTAGGCGCACAAAGTAGGCAGACATTTGTTCCTACTTCTTCTGATTCATTCAGTATGGAAGTGACGTCATTACCCGAACCGGCCACATCCACCCGTTTTTTTTTTTTTTTTTGTTTAGCTTTATTCAAGAAGAGTAATGCGCACATACAGTCAGGTAAAAAAAACAATATCACAATGTAAATCAAGTAAAAGACAGATTAAATAACTAAATAACATAAAGTACATAAAGGAAAGTACAAATGAAAGACAGTAATATACAGAATATAAAGTAAAATAAACCAATAAAGACGCATTTAAATAGTGAAATCATTATTTAAATAGAGGGAGAAAGGTTTTATAATAATGCAGACATTTGTTATATTTTCAGTTGTTAATTAAAAGTAGTGATTTCAGTCGGAACTTTAACTCTAGATTAAAAATTAATTCAATTAATCCACGCTCATTTGTTTTGATTTGGAGGCGCATGTGAAGTGTCGTTCTACGTTTAATTTCGCACAGCATTGTGGGTGGTAAAATACAATTCATTTCCTGAAAGCACGCATCCGATCCATACTGCATGAAACCCGGAAGTTAGTATCCATACTGAAATGTTCAGTCTACTGCGCAGACCCAAAAAATGACCACTGAATGACCACGAAAGTTCAGTATACTGAAACTCCATACTGCCTACTGAACTGTGACAATTCAGAAAGGGCCAGGATGTCACACCTGCAGACAGGAAGTCACACCTGCTGACAGGAAGTCACACCTGCAGGCAGGAAGTCACACCTGCAGGCAGGAAGTCACACCTGCAGGCAGGAAGTCACACCTGCAGACAGAAAGTCACACCTGCAGGCAGGAAGTCACACCTGAAGACATGGTCCGCAGTCCACACCGCCGTAATGTGACGTCAGACACTGGGACACCCAATACTCCACTGTTACAGACGCCATGTGTAAGAACTTGCTCCTCTCCAGCCCCGCCCTCTTGTCCAAATATGGTCACTTCCTGTGACATAATACTAAAAACATAAACAGCTGACTCCTCACAGCTTCTTTTAGCTGAACAAGACTTTTTCAGGTTGCCATGTTAGTGACCTGTCAATCCCAGGTAGCCCCGCCCTAACTCCTCCCCTCTTCCTGGTCTCTGTGACTCTAAATGGACACTGACTAATGAACATCGTGCTGTGTTCAAGAAGACTAGTAACTACTGATTGAGACCATGACGTCATTAGGACAATGAGGTCTGTTAAATCTGATCATCACCATCAGTGATACATGACCCCGCCCACCCAAGCCTCATCAACCAATCACAGAGCTACGTTAAATCAAATAAACAATGTTTCTTCTCGCCATCTGGACGAGTCTGTTCCTCTAGACTGTGTGTATGTGTGTGGGTGTGTGTGTTTGTGTTTATATGTGTTTGTGTGTGTGTGTGTGTGTGTGTGTGTGTTTGTGTTTATGTGTGTGTGTTTGTGTTTATGTGTGTGTGTGTGTGTGTGTGTTTGTTTGTGTGTTTATGTTTGTGTGTGTGTGTTTATGTTTGTGTGTGTGTGTGTGTGTTTATGTGTGTACGTGTGTGTGTACAGTGTAAACAGTCTGAACTCTTCCGACAGATGGAAACTTATTCTTTGGTTTTGATTGACAGCTTAGATCAGATGTTGTGTGATGCTGTGATCAGCTTCCTGTGATGTCACCTCAGGTGTAACAGAGCAGTTAAACGACAGAGCTGAGACGACCTCCAGTCCTGAGGCAATGTCTGTGTTGACAATGTTTTTGTGCATGTAGACAGCTGATAGAAACGTCCATCAGAGACACTTTGTACTCTGACTAAGAGCCGACACTGATCAACTCTGTTAGAACGACACAGAACTACTAACACTTGGAGACTGTTTTAACACAGGTGTGTGTGCTTTTGCTGCAGTAAAGACAGTGTGTCTACTCTGCAGGAGAACACAAACATGTGAATACATCAATGACGGTCGTCCTTGTTCGGTGTTGGAACGATACAACGTATTATATTAATGATCGACGGTATCAAAAAGCTTTACAGTAAAACGACACCTGTGCCATCAGACAGGTGAGCAGGAGATAAAAGCATGTGCACAAGGTGGGGCGCGCTGGTGGCGCAATGGTTAGGGCGCGCGTCCCATGTATTAAGACTCTCGTCTCGAGCGGTAGGCCCAGGTTCGCTTCCACCCGTGGCCCCTTTCTGCATGTCATTCCCCGCTCTCTCTCCCTGGTTTCTGACTCTATCCACTGTCCTCTCTCTGCATTAAAGGCACAAAAAGCCCAAAAAATTAATCTTTAAAAGCATGTGCACAAGGTTGTCTGCAGTTTGTTGTGAAAAAAAACAAGAAATTATCAAACATTTGGTGAAAAGGACTTCAATTGTTGTTGCCGTGGTAACAAACAGGTATCAGTACCGTTGGAGTTTTACTAGAATCAAATTAAAGTTTGAAGTTCTGATATAATGACAATCCTGCAGGCAGCACAGTGTGTGTCTGTGTCTGTGTGTGAGTGAGTGTGAGTGTGAGTGTGTGTGTGTGTGTGTGTGTGAGTGTGTGTCTGTATGTGAGTGTGAGTGTGAGTGTGTGTGTGTGTGTGTGTGTGTGTGTGTGTGTGTGTGTGTGTGTCACTGTGCGTGTGTGTGTGTGTGTGTCACTGTGCGTGTGTGTGTGTGTTAATCATGAACAATAAATACTCTGTGAGACGCAGCGTGGAAACAACCCTGATGTGATGTCATCGTCACCTGATACCTGTTTTTATTTCAATGATCTGATGTTTCGTGTTAATGGCGTCTCTCTGCTTCCAGCTGTGCGAGGACTTAAACACGGCGTCGTGTTCCTTTAACGTTGGCTCCGTCTGTGGGAATCAAACCCACTACCCTCCTGTGAGGCGTCCAGGTGAGCTTTAATAACCTGTAATTACCTGATATTAACTCAATAAAAAGGACGCCACAGAGAAAAAGAGAGAGAGACGGGCCGGGGACGCCTCCCCCACTTTTCCAATATTTCCCAGAAGTCCCGGCTGTGGCGGGAAGATAATCCCTGAGAGATGAGGAGAGGGAGCGAGGGATCGGCGAGCGGCGGGGGGGAGGAGAGGAATCCTCCAGCGTGGAGTGCTCGCTCTCTTCTTTTTCTCCTCCGAGGATTACGACGGCATTTGAAACATATTTCAGTGAGCGGCGGCAGAGGAGCGAGGGCGGGATTAAGGTGTTACCGTGGAGGGGTGGTGTTAACGCAGAGGGGCGGGGTGTTAAAAGATGGCAGAGAGGCGATATTGTTGGGGGTTAGTGGCGCTGGGACGAGTGAGGCGGATACAGCCTTGAGTTTTGTGGGGTTAATGGAGGCAGGCGGGTGTTACGGCGGCGAGGATGGGCGGGGGTCAAAGAGGTAAAGATGGAGGATGGTTGGAAGTGCCACAGGTTTGAAAGTTTACTTTCTTCGACACGCTCCAAACATTTAAACATTTAAATGATCTTTACGACCTGCAGGAGAAACCAGAACGTCAGGAAGAAGGCGCCGTGTCCACCTGGCGTTTCTTTTTTCAGTTGTTCTCAATGAGGAGAAAGCGGCCCAGAGGAAAAGAAGGAGTTGAAGTCCTTCCTGTAAAAATGGCGCCGTACTTGTTCTGTTGTCCTCCCACTTTAAAAAAAGTTCTCCTTCATTTTTAAAAAGTCTTTTTTTTTTTTTTTCTCACTCCCTTTCTCCCCTGACGACCGTTGCCATGGTTTCCAGAGTGCAGCAGTCCTGCCTCCAGGCCGGTAACCATGGCGACAGCACTCACAGTGAGAGGAGAGATGAAAGTTTCTGATCCATCAGACACATCGGGAGGGGGCGGAGCGTCTGAGCCACCACCTGCAGCACGGCATGCTGGGAGCTCCGCCCCCCTCTTTCTCTCTCTCTCACTCATCTTATCCCTCGATTGCCCCTCTCTCTCTCTCTGTCATCCCTACATCAGTCAGCTCTCATCTTTTTCATTTCTGCTCCTTTTACCCCTCCTCCCCCTCCCCATCCTCCCAGAGAGTGGTATATGAATCAGGATGCATTGTGGGTAATAAATCCAGGACTCTGCAGGTTTTGGTAATAAACTCTGCGAGCTGAACTTGGATAATAATCAGCCTCCAGAGGAGAGAATCTGGATCTGTTCTTCAAAATCTGAACTTTTTAATCATCCTCTGACATCATCCTCACTTATTGATTATTGATCGACACGCCGTCAGGATTTCTATCTCATTAAAGGCAGAGGAAATACTTCACAACACACGCCGCCGCCACTGTAGAAATATAGTCTATGAATGGCGCCTGATGAGGTCTCCTCTTAAAGATAGTGATTAACCAAACGTGCAGCAGGTGAACGTACTTCGTTTGAACATAATGTGGTAAACAATGCTTTAAACGCTAAACAGATTAGCTTCATTAGCTCATCAGGCTCCAGGTAAGAGTGAGCCGGTGATGTTATCCAGGTGAACACGAGGCTGCTCTCTGATTAAACATCTAACAGCTCCTCTGTGGTCATACGCAAATATTCAGCTGAGATGAGACTTTCAAATAACTCACACACAGACACAACACACACACACAACACAACACAACACAACACACACACACACACACACACACACACACACACACACACACACACACACACACACACACACACACACACACACACACACACACACACACACACACACACACACACACACACACACACACACACACACACACACACACACACACACACACACACACACACACACACACACACACACACACACACACACACACACACACACACACACGACAAGGTGTTGCAGGAGTATAGACGGCGAGTGTTCAGCAAACATCGACTCGTCAGTTCGACTCGGTCTCCTGTCAATATTTATCTCTGCAGCGTTTTGTTTTCACTTCATTCAAAATGTTCATGTTTTGATTCTAAACGCAAATATTTGAAGGTTGGATCGCTGGAGCCATCGTAACCGGGGCGACACAGCACGGTCCCAGAATGGGGTTAAACAGAGCCGTTAGAGAGGACGCCACCTCTGACAGAGCGAGACAACGACGCCTGGTATCAGGTATCATCAATAACGTAATAAATAATACAAATATGAACGTAAGAGGACAGACAGGTAAGAGGACAGACAGGTTAGAGGACAGACAGGTTAGAGGACTGACATGTAAGAGGACAGACATGTAAGAGGATAGACAAGTTAGAAGACAGACAGGTAAGAGAACAGACAGGTTGGAGGACAGACAGATAAGAAGACAGGCAGGTAAGAGGACAGACATGTAAGAAGACAGACAGGAAAGAGGACAGACAGGTTAGAGGACTGACATGTAGAGGACAGACAGGTAAGAGGACAGACAGGTAAGAGAACAGACAGGTTAGAGGACAGACAGGTAAGAGACAGACAGGTAAGAGGACAGACAGGTAAGAGGACAGACAGGTAAGAGAACAGACAGGGAAGAGAACAGACAGGTTAGAGGACAGACAGGTAAGAGGACAGACAGGTTAGAGGACAGACAGATAAGAGGACAGACAGGTTAGAGGACAGACAGGTTAGAGGACTGACATGTAAGAGGACAGACATGTAAGAGGATAGACAAGTTAGAAGACAGACAGGTAAGAGAACAGACAGGTTGGAGGACAGACAGATAAGAAGACAGGCAGGTAAGAGGACAGACATGTAAGAAGACAGACAGGAAAGAGGACAGACAGGTTAGAGGACTGACATGTAAGAGGACAGACAGGTAAGAGGACAGACAGGTAAGAGAACAGACAGGTTAGAGGACAGACAGGTAAGAGAACAGACAGGTAAGAGGACAGACAGGTAAGAGGACAGACAGGTAAGAGAACAGACAGGGAAGAGAACAGACAGGTTAGAGGACAGACAGGTAAGAGGACAGACAGGTTAGAGGACAGACAGATAAGAGGACAGACAGGTTAGAGGACAGACAGGTAAGAGGACAGACAGGAAAGAGAACAGACAGGTTAGAGGACAGACAGATAAGAAGACAGACAGGTTAGAGGACAGACAGGTAAGAGGACAGACAGGAAAGAGGACAGACAGGTTAGAGGACAGACAGGAAAGAGGACAGACAGGTCAGAGGACAGACAGATAAGAGGACAGACATGAAAGAGAACAGACAGGTTAGAGGACAGACAGGTATCAGACTCACCTTGGCGATGGAGCCGTCTCTCTCCTCCATCACGGCCTTCATCTCCTGGGCGGTGATGTCATGTCTCCGTTGCCTCGCCATCTGCAGGCGCTGGACCAGAACGGAGCCGAATTGTTGGACGTCCTGCACAGACTCTGCGTCACAAACGCCCTGAAGAAGCTCCTCGACGTCCTGACGATCGAGAACACACCGACCAATCAGAACAATCCTCAATCACCTCAGATTAAAATCTACAACCAGAGTGTGAGAGTGTTTCATGTCACTGTCATCCAGGTGAAAACTGTCCAACCTGAACACGAGGAGAGACGAGAAGTTTTCAGTTCATTAGAAACAAATACTGCAGAAAATAAAACCATCAAACAGCAACAACAAAGACGGACAAACAAACAAAAGAGGTCCTCCAGGCCTGTAGGGGGTGGTAAGTGCAATTACATTTAGACATGGATCATTTCTTGTTTTCAAATGAAGAGATCTGCAGACAAACTCCTGCACACTTCTTTATCGTACAAACACAGTGTGCTGGAGTCTGCCTGCAATTCCTGATGGATTCGTCTTCTCCTTCACACCTTTCTGATGAAATAGATTTTTTTTTTTTTTTTAAAGTTGTGCAACATTTTGATCCAGTAGATGTGGCCTTGAGCACCAGCATGAAACCAAAAACAAACAAAGCTGATTGACCATGTTCCTCCATACCGAAGCGTTCCTCCCCTTGCACACATGTCGCTGTCATCCAGGAGTCAAGAGGTGACGGCTAGCATCATCTCCTGTGTCCTGCATTGTTGTGTTAGCATGCTAATGTTAGCGCTCTTTAGTTAGCTCGTAGCTTCATGTTGCATGTAAACTGACACAGAATGAGCGTGATCTAAAAACTCTTACTAACATCCAAATAATCAGTATGTATATCAGTATGTTCTTCTTTTCTAGTTCTTAACTAAAACAGCTTTTATACACAAGGGGAGGAGCCGGCCGTCCGTCCATGTAAACACGGCTCTGACAACAACACTCACTCATTGTAGACAGTCATGACTCAGAAACACATTTCACAGGATAGACTGGATTTATGATACATTTATGTGGAACATGTCACACACCCTGACCACTTTAACAAAAACCATCCCTGAGACCAGCGGAGATGTTTCTGCCTGCAGTCAGACTCCCGAAGCTCCCACACCTGGCAGAGTCACCTCGCAGTACAATTACCTGCTCAGGTACAAAGCTAACGAGCTAACAGCAGCTAAACTCTGTGTTTTTAGATTTTAAGATCATTGTTAGTGTTCAGGTGATGATTAAACAGCAGGAGGAGGAGCGAGGTATAATCTGACTGATAAATATAAATTAATATATGTACAGTGTGATTATATGGCAGGGGATGACCAGCTCGCCCAACCCCCCCCCCCCGCACTTATCCATGTGTTCCAGCCTCTGACCATATTAAATCTGCCCGTGAACTGCGGTCTGTGAGATGACCCGCGCTCTGCAGCAGCTGAGCTGTAATTTTGTCCTTCGTCCCTGAAGTCCAGCTGAAACTCTCCGTCTTTAAGAACTCCTCCTCTGCTGTTCAGGACTCCGCGCCTCCCTGCAATGGTGGACGAGGAGCTGGTAACTAGCTGATCGGCTCCCTCTCTCCTCGTGGGAGGCTCTTTTCATTTAGCTGCTGCTGTTTTTTGTAATAAACTGTAATAAGGTGGCCGAGGCGGCTCGCTCTGCAGGGAACAGCAGGTAATGAAAGACCAGCCGCCTCCAATAAAGCTCCTCTAACACCCTGCTTACAGCCCAGCCAGCCCGGCTCAGCTCGACTCGGCTCGGCTCGCTCCACAGCAGCCGTCATTAACGCGCTCTCACACACACACACACACACACACACACACACACACACACACACACACACACACACACACACACCACACACACACACACACACACACACACACACACACACACACACAGAAAACACACACACACACGTGAGAACATCCACAGTAATCGTTTGGAAAAGTTTCACCTTCCAGATCAGATTCATCAAACAATCCTCCCCGTAATAATGAACTCCACATATACACTTTACATGAATGTGTGTGAATATGAAGTGAGACACCTTTAGACACACAGGTGACTCAATAATCAGCTGATTTCACTGATGACGGGTTTGTTTTGTGTGTGACTGAAGAAAAGTTCGGAGGAAATCGTTGTAAGTTTGTGATGTTTCCTGTTGAATAAATCAAACGAGCTCAAAGAGAGAAAAACAAACAGCAGCTCCACATTACTCACACACATTTACAGAGGTAACACAGGCCGCCTCTCTCCATTAGGAAAACACACACACACACACACACACACACACACACACACACACACACACACACACACACACACACACACACACACACCACACACACACACACACACACACACACACACACACACACACACACACACACAGTCCTGACAGATGGAACATGCTCCTCCATATTCTGTCCCTCATAAAAAGGATTGTGGCCTCCAATATCAATTACCCTCTCATCCTGGGGGGGAGAGAGGGGAGGGGGAGTGATGGGGGACAGGGGGAGGGGTGTGGGGGGAGGCAGGGGAGGAGGGGGGTTATCTGTAATTAGATTTTCTGGTCTATTTGGAGGCTCCTCGAGGTGGACGAGAGCTCGTTTCACAGCTCTTAACAAGATCGAGTAGGAGTATAATGAAGAGGAGGCGGAGTAGCAGGAGGAGGGGGGGAGGAGGAGGAGGGAGAGGAGGAGGAGGAGGAGGAAGAGGAGGAGGGATAGAGGAGGAGGAGGAACAGGAGGAGGAGGAGGGATAGAGGAGGAGGAGGAAGAGGAGGAGGTAGAGGAGGAGGAGGAGGTAGAGGAGGAGGAGGAGGGAGAGAGACGAGGAGGAAGAGGAGGAGGAGGTAGAGGAGGAGGAGGAGGGAGAGAGAGGAGGAGGAAGAGGAGGAGGAGGAGGAGGAGGAAGGAGAGAGAGGAGGAGGAGGGAGAGAGGAGGAGGAGGATGAGGAGGTTTTCCCCCTTTTTATATAGAAGCAGAAAACATGTAAATAAGGAGTCAACATCTTTCTCCTCAGAGAAAACAAACAAACAAACAAACAAAGAGTCTTCTCTGTAACAGCTCTGTCTTCAATCAATCATCCACCTGATATGATCTATAATTATTCTCCAGTTAATCAGAGTTTAACTCATGAGTTTGATTTGAGGATAAAGAGATGCGAGTCAAATCTTTAAATGTTTCTAAACACAAACCTCCTTGTTCTTATTCGTCTGTATTTTGTCTCCTTCACTCGGGTTTCACCTGAATAAGGCTCCGTGTCCACCTGGCCTTTTTTTCTAAACGTCTTTTTATTTTAGTGTTTTCAGCGGAAGCAATTCTGGAGTAAATTCGAGAATTTCAGGAGAAGTTCATCTGATATTATCCATCATTTCAGGAGTGAAGATATGAAAACGGCTTCTGTATGTGTGTGTGTGAGTGTGGTCGTACTCAGCGGCCTGCTGCAGTTGGCGTGCTCTCAGCAGAGCCTCGTCTCTCTCCTCATTGGCCAGCAATAGGCGTGACATCAGAGCCTGATCTCTGTCCTTCTGAGCGGACAACACCTCCTAGGACAGCTGAGGAGACAAGGAGACAAGGATGAGAAGAGGCAATAGGGGCAGGAGAGGAGGAGACAAGAGGAGAAAGAGATAGAAGGACAGCAGAAATGAAGAGGAGGGGAGGAGGAAAAAATATGATGAGGCAAGGAGGCAAGGAGGCAAGGAGACAAGATGACGAGGTGACAAGTTGATAGGGAAAGAAAGAGAAGAGACAGGAGAAAATTAGATGGGTAACAAGGAGAGGAGGACTTAGGGAGGCATTTAGACAAAGAGACAAGGAGACAAGGTGACGAGGTGATAAGTAGAAAAGGAGACCGAGACAGGAGAGTAGGAGAGAGGAAGGCAAGGAAGGAAGAACATGAGGAAAGGAGGTGGAAATGTGAGGCTAGACTAGGACTGGAGGAGACAAGGAGAGGAGGTATGAAGGAAAGGAGATGATGGGGCCAGAGGAGGAGAAGACATGTTGAAACAAGGAGATAAGGGGGCATGGCATGTAGGACAAGAGGGGACAAGCAGAGAGAGAAGACAACAAGGAGGCAAAGTGAGAAAGAGACAAGTAAGCAAGGAGTCAAAAAGAGGTGAAGAGACAAGGACAGAAGGGGAAGAGGAAAAGGGGGGAATGGATGAGGAGACAAGAAGTGGAAGCAAGGAGAGGTAGAGGCAAGGAGGCAAGATGAAAAGGATAGAAGAGTATAAGACAAGGAGACAAGGGGAAGGGAATGCAGGGAAAGCAGGAGGCAACAGGAGGATACAAGGATAGATGAACATGAGGAAAGGAGAAAAGAGGAGAGGATGCAAACAGAATGAGGGAGGAAGAGAAGACATGTGGACACAAAAAGATAAGGAGGATAAGAAGACAACAAGGGGGCAAGGTGAAGGCATCAAGGAGAGTAGTCAGGGAGACGGGAAGAAAGATGAGGAGACAAGGAGAAGACAGGAGGAAAAAGAGGGAGATAATGAGATAAACGAACAAGGAGGCAAGCAGACAAGGAGAGGAGGAGAGGAGTCAGTTTTAGGATGGTGTGTATGTGTGTGTCTGTTTGTGTGTGTGCATGCGTGCGTGTTTGTGTATGTGTGTGCGTGTCCATCCTGTGGTCCAGGTGTAATAACAGAGAAATGACCACAGCTCATGTGAGACTCGATAAAATCAAATCAAAGAAGAAACTCGACAGAAACACGTCGTCATAGAAACATGCTGGATCTGTGAGTTCTGATTGGACGGATCAATCATCTTAAACCAATAAAAACAAAACCAGCAACACGAAGAAACTTTAGAATCCGGATTCTCTCTTTTATCTTTAATGTTATTTAGTGTTTGAGTCAGTGACCTGCGCACACACACACGAGACAGGACACACACGAGACACACACACACACACACACACACACACACACACACACACACACACACACACACAAGACACACACACACAAGACACACACACACACGAGAGACACACACACACACACACACACACACACCACACACACACGCACACACACACACACACACACACACACGAGACAGTTTAGTGTGATCAACAAACTAAATAAACGTTGTCAAACATTATAATGATAATTTACTTTTTCTTGACGTAACCGAACTGAAGATGAAATAAAATCTGTTGGACAGACACATTCTGTTTCTATGGTAATCCTGCTGGATTATATTTACACACACACACACACACACACACACACACACACACACACACACACACACACACACACACACACACACACACACACACACACACACACACACACACACACACACACACACACACACACACACACACACAGTTGAATCAATATTACATCTGATCGCTGGTTAAACACATAAACATTTCTGTTAAACTAACAGCTGCTCGTTAACTGTCACCTCGTTATCACGGCTGTTTTTTTAATTACTGTGTGTGTGTGTGTGTGTGTGTATTAAACAGTGCGCAAGAAAAATATTCAAATATTTAAGATGTCGTGGTTGGATCAGATCTGATTAAGAGGAGAGTTAACTGTAACATTCACCCTCCTCTTCCCCCTCCTCCTCTCCCCCCCATCTCTTCCTCCTCCTCCCTGTCGGCCTCTCCCAGCGCTCCTGCTCCTCTGCCCCCCCCTTCATCCTCCCTCCCCATCCTCCACCTCCTCCATCTCCTTACCTGTCGGCCTCTCCCAGCCTTTGGCCTCCCTCTGCGCCTCCTCTTCCTCCCTGCCCCCCCCCCCCATCTCTTCCTCCTACCCCCCCATCTCTTCATCCTCCCTCCCCATCCTCTGCCTCCTCCTCCTCCCTCTCCTCACCTGTCGGCCTCTCCCAGCCTTGGGCCTCCCTCTGCTCCTCAGTCAGCTCTTCCTCCACCTCCCTCCTCTGCAGTTCCTTCTCCTTCTGGACAAGCTGATCCTGCAGCTGAAACACAGTCAGGTGTTGCTATACCTGTGAGGACCTCACTGTGTATAAAAAGAGTTTACAGAGTGTATTTGTGTGTGAGAGTGTTTACCTTCTTGTTGATGTCTCTCAGAGCGTCGAGCTCCTTAAGTAAAAACGAGATGTTTTTGTTCCGATCTATAGTCTGAACCCGACTGGGCGTTGTGATTGGACCGAACGTGACCTCCTGATGAGAGCTGAAGGAAACAAGAAGTTTCGATAAACACACAAAGCCAAAAATGTGATCAGTTATCTCTCCTCTCAGCCTGAACAGAGAATCACGTTAGTTAGTCCAGGAGGATAAGAAATATCAAGTTCACCTGTCAACGTAAACAAAACAGCAACAACAATCCTCAGTCTAAAGACCTGTTAGCTAGGATCAGTACCAGGTGTCTCAGTTCATGACCTCATACCAGGTCCCAGTTTCATGACATGTTAGCTAGGATCAGTACCAGGTCCCAGTTTGATGACATGTTAGCTAGGATCAGTACCAGGTCCCAGTTTGATGACCTGTTAGCTAGGATCAGTACCAGGTCCCAGTTTGATGACCTGTTAGCTAGGATCAGTACCCGGTCCCAGTTTGATGACCTGTTAGCTGAGATCAGAACCATGTCCCAGTTTGATGACCTGTTAGCTAGGATCAGTACCGGTCCCATTTGGATGACCCAGGCCAGTTGATGACCTCAGTACCAGGTCCCAGTTTGATGACCTATTAGCTTGGATCAGTACCAGGTCCAGTCTGATGACCTATTCGCCAGAATCAGTCAGGTTCAGTTTGATGACCTGTTAGCTTGGATCAGTACCAGGTCCAGTTGATGACCTTAGCTGGATCAGTACCAGGTCCAGTTGATGACCTGTTAGCTTGGATCAGTACCAGGTCCAGTCTGATGACCTGTTAGCTTGGATCAGTACCAGGTCTCAGTTTGATGACCTGTTAGCTCGGATGAGTACCAGGTCCAGTTTCATGACCTGTTAGCTGGATGAGTACCAGGTCCAGTTTGATGACCTGTTAGCTCGGATCAGTACCAGGTCCCAGTCTGATGTCCTGTTAGTAGGATCAGTACCAGGTCTCAGTTTAAAGACCTGTTAGCTTGGATCAGTACTAGGTCCCAGTTGGATGTTCTGTTAGCTAGGATCAGTACCAGGTCTCAGTCCAATGACCTGTTAGCTAGGATCAGAACCAGGTCCCAGTTTAAAGACCTGTTAGCTTGGATCAGTACTAGGTCCCAGTTGGATGTTCTGTTAGCTAGGATCAGTACCAGGATGATTCTATATTTGTGTTGGAAGAATCTGCGATAACACTGATCACCCTCGGACATAGGGAATGACTACGTGCAGTGAATGCATCGTGCAGGTGGGCTGGTGGTCATCAAGGCTGTGATTGGTCAGGACTCTGCTGACATCATCTCAGTGAGTGTTTCATTAGAGTGTGACCTGTGTGTAGTCGGGTCAGGTGTTTTAACCTCACTTTATCAGAAGTGAGGCTCAGAGACGGAGGCTGCAGGTTATGAGGCGTTGCTTTAATAAGCAGTGACTGATGTTCACCTGTAATTCTCTCATATTACCTTAAAGGTCAGACTGCTTCTTAGCTTAATAAAGCGGGTAAATAAGACACAGAAATGTGGCTGACGCTGTCTTCTGTAATTGACTGTTTCTGACTTTATAATACCAGCTGCCTCTAATCAACTTCCCTCTCCTCGTTCTTACTATCGTTCTATTTCAGGCACCCTCCATCTAACGCTTCCACTAATCAAATCAAATCTAAATTTAATAGGTCATATTTCATACAGTGATGCAACTCACACGGATCCACAAATTTCATTTGAACGTGCATCAAAAAGACACAAAAGAAGGAAAGGTATGAACGCTGGAATCTAAAGAAGGCTGAAGTTTAATGAAAAGCAATAAACTTTAATCATCTCTTCCGTGTGGAGACTCTACACATATCACATGAAGAAGAACATTCTGGGATCTTTCACACAGACAAAGTTTATTTATGAGGTTACACTGTTTACAGCAGAGAAGAAGAGAATGCAGGACTTTATTTCACTAATAGTCTGAACTGCAGCGTCTGGAGGGTGATGTTGGTGGTTGAATTTGGGTTGCTGATGTTGGTGGTTGTTTTTGGGGTTGTTGATGTTGGTGGTTGATTTTGGGGTTGTTGTTGGTGGTTGTTTTTTGGGTTCTAAGTAGTGGTTTGTTGTCATGTCATGTCTGTGTACTGTTTTTAGACGCTGTAGTAGTAAAGCAGGTGGTCTCACCTGTCGTCAGTCTTGACCAGGTGTCTTCTGACAGCAGGACTACCAGGACCTCTAGACGCTCGTCCTCCATCGTCTCCTCTGCTCTCTGCCCGAGGAGAGGGTCCTGGGCTGGGGGGTAGGTCCATCTCTATCTCACCTACGCCTCCTCTCCTGTGGGAGAGGGGTGACACAGGAGAGAGAGACGTCCTGTGGGAAAGGGGTGTGACGGGAGAGAGAGACCTCCTCTGGGAGAGGGGTGACACAGGAGAGAGAGACCTTCTGTTGAAGAGGGGTGAGACCGGAGAGAGAGACTTCCTGTGGGACAGCAGAGGCGTGGAGGAGGATGTGGGAGGCTCCTGAAGGTGAGGAGGAGCTGTAGGACGACAGAGAGACAGACTCAAAGTCACACCGAGATGTTGTCGTCATTATTTCATTTTTAATACATTTGATGGGCATTTTTGGGGTGTATTTGTAATAAAGACACAATAAGTTAAGTTGCTAATTGAAATAATTGACTTTAGGCTTGCTGGTGTAAAGATCCCAGCACCTGTAGATCTGGATCAGGACACTATGCATACGGGAGGCAGAGCTTTTATTAACCTGTGCACGTCTCCTTTGGATTCATCTGGATGTTACTAACTCCATATTTTCACCGGAGAATATTCGATGATTTGCAGGTTCCTGTGGATCTTTGGATTCATCGATTTCTTCAACATTAAATCCTGATCCAAAGTTAGTCACACAGTTCCTAAAGGTTTGGTGTTCAGATTCTTTTCAACTTGTTCTTGCGTCATCGAGGTAATAATACGAAGAAAAACTCCATAAATGTTTGTCGTTATGCAGATGATACTCAACTACACCTGTCAACCTGCTAACTGAACTGAGGTTGTTATCTTCCACTAGTATTTGATACCACATGTTTTCAATCATTACAGTCTGTTCTACTACTGATCAATAAAAGTTTCAAAACTTCTGTTTCATAAGACAGGCGTGTAAGAGAGGATTCAATCTCCTGCACTCTGCCTAAAGTTTTCAATTACATAAGCAATGTTTTGGTACAGATACGTTGCTGATGGATTTGACTTATTCAGACACTGTGCAGGAGTTTGACTGCATTTCTTGATAACTGAAAATAAGAAGTTACCCGATATCGTGTGTGAGTGTGTGTAAGACTTTGTTGTAGTCGAATTAAACAGATCTCATTTTGATTTAAACTTTATTCATATCAAAGTTTAAATTATTTGTTATTATTATTATACCGTGACACTCTGAACTACATTAGAAGCAGACTAAAGTTATTGTGCTTGACCCTGGAGGCATCACAGATATATTTTCAAAACTGTCCAACAACCTGCCGCCGGATCTCACCTTCAGGCCAGTCGCTGTGCTCCAGACTCCGGCTGATCCTCGTTCTGGAAACAAACATGAGAAACATGAGAAGTCATCACATTTCATACTGAACGCTCCTGATCTCCTGCCTGCTCCTCAGAGGATGAACCCTTTACGCGTTCATTACCCAGCATGCACCTTCTCTCCTGAACTCTCCTCAGGCTGACATGTTGTGTTTACCTGTCCGTGCTGCTGGCTCTCTGCCGGCCAGGTGAAGGCAGACGCTGTTGCAGCTCCACGTTCACTCTGGGATTAGCTGAAAACATAAAAAAAAGAACTGAAACCAACAGTTTGCTGGTAAAGCAACAGGATGTGTTTACATCATCACCCCACCTGTCTGTCTGCAGTTTCAGTACACCTGTCTCTCTCTCTCTCTCTCTCTCTCTTTATTAATCATTAGAGAGCAGTAATCCTGTTGTCACGTCGAGCTTTCTAAATACTTGCAGCTCATCAGCAGAGCAAACACAGCTTTAATATCTCGTTAAGGCCTTGTTAAGGCCGGTTAACGACTCTTGTTAAAGAGGAAACCAATCAGAACACAGCTCCTCAGGTGTAATTAAAACAGAAGCAGAAATCACGCTAAATGCTCGTTAAGTCGAAAGCAAGCAACAAAACACACAGAGATCATTAAACACTCAGCAGTGTGTGAGAATAAGTGTGTGTGTGTGTGAGAATAAGTGTGTGTGTGTGTGTGAGTATGTGCGTGTGTGCGCATGTGTGTGTGCGTTCAGAAAGCGTAGCGGACAAATTAATGTGATTTCGGTCTTCGATGCAAATTCACATGAAAAATCTAAATTGTCTTGTAAGCACATTTCGCACATTTGCGTGGTGATATTGTGGCAGAGAGCCGTCAAGGTCTCACCAAACTCCATAAAGAAAACAGGACATTTTATCCTCGTTATATCAGCCGGTTCATTCTAAAAAATATCTAATAATGAAATCAACATGTTTCCTACACACCCCGTGTTGGTACTTCTTCTTTTCAGACAAACTCGTGCACACTGACATAAAGTTTAGACAGCATGCACGAGTGTGTCTGCCATCTTTGATTCATTAATTCTCCTCTTGCACACACCTGTCTGATGAAATCAAAGCCCTTTCATCACCCTTCTCTCTAAAGTGTTGTTCATTGTTACATCTGTTTGTTTGTCATAATGGACGTCATTGTCTCACTTGTTGCAAACAATTCTACCGACAGGTACAAAATAAAGTCACCTGAACCTGAGCCTGTGCAGGAGTTTGTCTGATGGACTCTTTCCTCTCCTGTCTGATGAAGTGAATGAAGTTTCAGTCTTTTTTGAAACGATCGATGATTAAAACAACAGTTTGAAACGTTTTAAAGCACCTGGTATCAAAAAAGTATCAAAGAATCAGAGAGATCGACGACATCACGATGAATCAAACATACTTTGGACCTTTAAGTCGTTTAGAGCTTTTATTAAAAACAAGAGAACAGACCTTTAATCAGTCTATGGTTACCTGCAGTCTCGTTGCGTGGAGGTTTATTCTAAATGTGAGGAAACTGAAAAATCTGATTCTGTGAATGAACACGTGAACGCATCATTCTAACAGAGGTCATACGGTGGGACACAGATTCTGGTTCTGGTTCTGGTTTTGCTCTTTTACAGTTATTGAATTATTTCTTCACTTTGAAACTTTTCTCATTTCCTGTCGTCCTCTGCCTCCCCCCTCCTCCCCCTCCTCCCCCTCTGATCTCATTGTGGACTCAGAGCTAATTGAGCGCGGCGGCTCTTCTTATTATTCATGTACAATTACAGATGTGATAATGTGCTTAAATCCTTCTAAATGACCGTTCATGCCTCGCGCTCACTTTGAAGTCTCGTCAAAGATGGAAAAATCTGCAGAAAAAAGGGAAATTACAAAGGCCAATCAGAGGAGCAATCTGTGACAGCCAATGAGAGGAGGAGGGGGGAGGCGAGGAGGCCTGCCCCCCCTCCGCCTTTCTTCTTCATGTAATATAAACTAAAGTCCATTAATTTTTAAGCTGTATTTAATACATTTTGTGCAGAAAGTTTGGTGCAGAGAGAGTGGGGTGTTCCAGCTGACTGCATGAATATTAATGACGGTGTTACGATGATTAAAGAGGCTTCAGCTCAAATCCAACACAATCCGCCTGTGATCCGCCCGCCGCCGCCGCCACACCGCCACCACCACCACGCTGCCGCACATGAATTTAGATACGGACATTAAGCCCAGGAGACACACACACACACACACACACACACACACACACACACACACACACACACACACACACACACACACACACACACACACACACACACACACACACAACACACACACACACACACACACACACACCTTCATACGGACAAACATACAGTAAATACTGATGTACGTTTGAGTCTGACCTTTTATCAACACGATTAATCCTCAGTCAGTTCATTCTGTCGGAGCGGAAACAATTAATAAACAATTAACAGGAAATTAATCAGCAATGGCTGCTTCACTGATTTACAGTTTAAAAGAGAAAAAAAGAAATTCATCAAATTCATCTTTGAACTTTACTGTTTTTATTAAATGTTAAAGAAGAATTAAATTATTTAAGTTTGAAGAGTTTTAAAGCGACTGAGCACCTTTTTGTTTTTAAATTAATGACTTTTTAATATTTTCAAAATAACACAAATTACGTTTTTGCAGTGATTTAATTTAAGTAGATTACGCAAACACAGTACTCAAGAATTGCAGTTCCTCCAGTGTCCACTAGAGTCTGTCTCCTGCAGTGAGTCAGTCCCCATAGAGCCCCATGTTAAAATGTCAATGTAAAATGTAACATGTCTTTAAGTGATGTAGAATTAGGGGGTGTGGTCTCTTTGAGTGACAGGTGGGAGCTGCTAGCTGTCTGATAGGTGTCGCCTCAACTAATTCAGTCCCTGACCTTTGACCTCTGGGCCGTGTTTGTGCTGTTGCAGCCTTTTGGAGATTTGTTCATGTAAATATCAGACTAACAGAGCTCCACTTTTTACAACCAGTCACATTAGAACATGATTTGTATGTTAGCAACAATAAGCAGCTAATCTGTCACTGTGAGAACCAGACCTGGAGTGTTAGCTCACTCTCTGTTTGTCATGGGTTCATTTATTTGTGGCGGCACGTGCATGGAGTCAGGTTGGTTGTTGGAGTTTGTCTGCAATTTTTGATCATTTAAATTAAGAAATGACCCAATATCCTGTATCTACAACTTCTATTTTTGTTGCTGTGACATCAAACAGGTGCTGATGTCGTTTAATTTTTTCTTAAATCATGTCAAACCCTAAACTGCAGATGAAAAACAAAACCAAACAGAACTGAGACACATTCAGACTCTGCGCACACGCACACACACACACACACACACACACGCAGGCTGGTCAGCAGATTACTATAATGACAGGCGAAGAAGACAAAGGGCGAGAGAGGTTGCTAGTGAATGAGGAGAGAAAGGGTGGAGATGGTCGTGTGAACTGTGTTTAATCTGCGGAGTGGGTGGTCTACACACACACACACACACACACACACACACACACACACACACACACACACACACACACACACACACACACACACACACACACACACACACACACACACACACACACACACACACACACACACACACACACACACACACACACACACACACAGTATTGTTAGATGAGGGTGGGCTGCAGACTCTGGATTGTTTGATCAGACTGAAGTAGCTGCTTTTCATGTCTGTGTGCAGGAATGTGTGTGTGTGTGTGTGCGTGTGCGTGTGTGTGTATACACGTGTGTGTGTGTGTGTGTGTGTGCATGTGTATACGTGTATGTGTGTGTGTGTGTGCATACGTGTGTGTGTGTGTGTGTGTGTGTGTGTGTGCATACGTGTGTGTGTGTGTGTGTGTGTGTGTGTGTGTGTGTGTATACGTGTATGTGTATGTGTGTGTGTGTGTGTGTGTGTGTATACGTGTATGTGTGTGTGTGTGTGTGTGCATATCAATAACATGTTAAAGTGATCAGACCAGCATCTGATAAACAAATTGAACCAAACTGGTCCGTTCAGCAGTACACAGACCTCAGAGCAGCTCACACAGGTTTGATTGACAGCTGATGATGGTAGGTGGGATTATCCTCCTTCACCTTCTTTCTCTGTTTTTACTCCTTCTCTTCATTCTCACCTCATTCTCCTTCTTTCTGCTTCTACTCTGTATTCTCCTTTTCTCTCCGTCTTTCCTCTCTTTCTTCATCACTTTCCCCCTCCTTTTCTTCTGTCTTCTCCTCCCTCTCCTCCTCCTCTTCCACCTGCTCCTCTTTCTCCTCCTCTTCCTCCTGACAGGTGTGATGAGCAGACTCTAATTCCTGTACACACACTCAGATGTTTATTTCTGGCTGAAATGACACTCCAGGTTTCCGGATGTTAACAGACTGAACACACCTGACTTCAGGTGTAACATCACCAGGTGAGACCAAGCTTCAGGTATGACTCTGACGGGACACTGTGACTCTGCTGTCAACTTGCATGTTGCGGATGCCGAGGTCACATACAGGGATTGTTGCCGTAGTAACAGATAATCAGGGCCGTCATTGGTCGCAGCAGGTGTGATCCTATGTGTTCACATCAGACGTTTCACTGCAAACACTTCTGAAGAAAGTCAAACTCCAAATATACCCACGTCCTCCAAAAGCATTTACTCGAGAGATTACAGACGAGGCGCTCCGCCATAACGGGAGAAACCAGATTACTGAGAGAGACAGAGACACCAGACTGAAGGAACCAGAAGGAAACATGCTCACAACTTCAACTAAAAACAAAATCAGGAATCCACTTCCACACCTCTACGTGAAGGAGCCGAGAGAACCTAGGCGAGCAAACGGTCACACCTTGACAGCGTGCAAACAAAAGAACTAAATGTAAAGAATTCAAATTCAACTTCATTTAACACACCTGCTTTGTTTGTTTGTGCCTTTTAAAGCCTCATATTAAATCACTGATGAAAACCTTCAGATCTATAAATAAACGCTCAGATATGTTAGAGACCACACATCACGTCTCAGTTAATATATTTTATGTCAGCAGTAGTAACAGAAGCAGCAGAAGAGGAGTCACTCATGACAGTTGGTGCTGAGCTATTCGACCTCCTCTCAGTGCGTCTCTGAGTGAACAGCTGTTTGTAGGACCACAGCTCCACCTGGTGGACAGACTGACTCGTTACATCTCCTCCCTCTTATTTAACTGATGAACACACGGAGAGACGGTTTAAAAGGATGCAGCAGTTTGACATAAAACCTGTTCTGACCTGTGAACACACACCTGATGTTCCGCCCTGTGTGCATCATTTAGTCCATAAATAAAACATTTAATTTTATTAGTACTGCCCAGATTCAAAGAATTAAAACCCAATGTTTTAAACAGCGAGCACAGAGAGGTCTGCTCTTCAGAGACTCGTCACAAAGCTTTTACTCAGAGTGAAGAGAGGGAAGCAGGTAAGGTAACACCTGTGAGACTGAACCACAGGAAGTGAAGGAGCTGCAGCCTCACTCTTCCTGTATTCACTCAGGAACCTTCAGTTCTGACGTTACTGTTTCCTGTTGGACCCTTCTTTATTCTGACTCCTGATTCTTTCTCTTAAAGTCTAAAGATGTTTCTGAATACTTTCCCAGGAGAACCGTCAGAACCAGTTCAACCAGTCCACCTGCTCGCCTCTGATGCTAACGTTACTTTCAAGTCTCTTTGTGTCATATTCATCGATCGACTTTTATTTAAAATCACATCAAAGTCTAAAAGCATGTTGCCATGACAACACAAACTCCTGTAGTACTTTACCTGTGTACATGTCCACCAGAGAGTCCCGGAGCTCCTTGCTGGGCGTCCATGATGTTATGGCGGTCTCAGCTGGACTCAATGAACTGGTTTCTCTGGAAACACAAAGACATGAGAGCTCAGAGACCTCACAAACACACACACTGTGTCAGACACACACTGTGTCACTCACAGACAGACACACACACACACACACACACACCTCAGTCTTCTACTAAACTCTTCTGACTGGTTAAACTGGTCAGTTTCCAGTCAGACCAGAACACAGAGTGATTCAAACTCAGAAGGTTAGAGGAGGTTCAATCCTCCTGATCTCCAGTCAGCCTACACGTCTGATCACATGACCCACAGGTCACATGGTCCCAGCAGGTCATGTGATGTTTCATCTGTACTCAACTTTAATTACCCAGAATTCCTCAGTGAGAGACGCTCAGCTGATCGTTGAAACCACAGTCACAACTCGTCAATAATCAACTTCAGATCGGTTCAGTACGGGTTCAGACCCAAACCAGACCAGTTCAGATCTAACAGTGTGCTGCGACCAGTCTGACACCAGTTTAAACCGGTTTCACACCGTATTTAAACTGGTTTCAGACCGTATTTAAACTGGTTCCAGACCATATTTAAACTGGTTCCAGACCGTATTTAAACTGGTTCCAGACCATATTTAAACTGGTTCCAGACCGTATTTAAACTGGTTCCAGACCATATTTAAACTGGTTCCAGACAGACATCAGACACTTTGAGTCACTCTCTTACTCGTTGAGTTGCCGCTGCAGGTTGCTGATCTTCTTCTTTGCCCTCTGCAGAGCAAACTGAACGTCTTCAGCTCTGCTGCTGCTCGACGCCATCAACACACTTCCACCTGTCTAACTGCACACCTGACCGTCTCCATGACAACCAACCAGCACACTCTACCCCTGCTCAGTGTGCTTCCAGGTCACACAGGCAGAAAGGGCTGTGATTGGCTGACAGCCAGAGGCTCTTAACCAACAGCAGCTTAAATATTGATGATCTTACAGTGTCAGGTGACTCAGGTGAGTCAGGTAATGACAATAATAAGATTTACCTTGTTTTTATTATTTCATTGTCAAAGTCTGAAACGATTTTATTTGAACTCTTGACCTTTTTATTCTTTTCATCGTGTTTTTCTGTTTCAGGTGTGACATCACACTCTGAGGCTCTTCTGATTGGTTCACAGGAAGAAGACACAGTGCAGACACTTTCATGATCACATTTTTTTTATTCATGATTAAATATTTGATATAAATAATAAGCTGTCCTCATCTCGTCTGTGTCTCTGCGTCCGTCAGCAGTTTTTCCAGCAGGATGGCGTCCACGCGATGCTTCATCACAAACCGTCCATTCAGGTGGAACACGGGGATGTCGTACCTGTACCTGTCCCACCACACGCTGTTCTCTGGGAGGGTGATGTCCACCTGCTGCAGCACAAACTGAACACACACACACAAACACACACGTTAACACGGTTAAGAACAGAGAAACTGTCGACCAGCAGGGGGCGCTGAGGTCAAACTGAAGAGAAGAAGAGTTTGAAGTCTCACCCGGTGTTTGAGCGGTTCCAGCTCCTCTTTGGCGTCATCACACAGAGGACACGGATCCTACACACACCCACACAACCACACACACACACAAACATTATCATACGACACTGATTTCTCATTTGTCAAGACAATTTTAAATTATTTTAAACAATTCTTATTAGTTTACATCTGTTTACTTCATAAAACACAAACAGGAGCAGTCTGAGGTTTTAAAAGAGAAGAAGAAGAAGCTTCGTCCTGATCAGATACAAGGTTTCATGTTCACAGGTCGACAGTCTGAAGTTAGAAGGTTGTTAAGCTTTAAAAAAAAAACCTTCAGTTCTTGGGTCACATTTTTAACCATTGAGCTGCAGCGAGAAAAACAGCAGCAACCTCTCCGTCCCCAAGTGTGCAGCAGTTCAAGTTCTGATCATTAAAAACAAGAATATCAGGGTCTAGCTCTTCTTATTCTTGTTGCCGGAGTAACAAAGAGGTGTAGGTATTGTTTGAGTTTGACTATATTAAAGTTTGTAGTTCAGGTCTGGTGAGGACTCAGCCCGGGTCGTGTGGTTACCTTAGTGAACAGAGTGAGAGTGGGTAAAGAGTGTGAAGAGAACAGTCGGAGGAGCTGCAGAGCTGCAGGTCGACTCTTCAGGAAAAACATTTCATCTGAGAAAAAAACAGAGAGAAACAAAAAGTGTTACTGACCTCCACACTGACCCAGATAATCCACGAGGCCGGCCAATCACAGAGCAGGAGGGAGGATAACGATGAAATACCAGCTGAGCTGCAGCAGCACGGCCAGAAGAAAAGCTGGATCTGTTTCTCTCTGCGAGTCTGACTTCAACGCTCAGAGGGGTTCAGAGAAACACTGAGCAAAGATATTCTGACTGTTTTTATTAGAAAGAGGCGTTCACGTCACGACTGTCACGATGTTCACGACTGTCACTACTGTCACAGCTGCCACGACCTTCACCACCGTCATGGCTCTAATGACGTTCACAACTTTCACAGCTGTTAGAACGCAACTGTCAAAATTGTCACGGCTGTCACGAATGTCAAAAAAGGCAACTGTCCCAACTGTTTTCCCCAAACTTTTATCATAAAGACATTTTATTTGAAGAAAAGGGAATTCAGTAAAGATGACAAACAGGTGCAGGATTTTAAAGATAATATAAAGTGCAAACTTTAAAACACAGGAAGAAATCACCAGGGGTTCATGTTACTTCATGTTCCAGGTCTGTTTCAGGGATACTCTCTGATCAGCTCAGAGTTAGTTAGATTAATAAAACTGAAGGAGAGCTACATACAAACTCAGAGCACCAAGTCAGGAGGTGTCGTCATATTTTCACACACACACACACGCTATATTGTCAAAGCATCAACACAAGATAAATCAATGATGTTGCATGAGTAAAACTCCAAAACTGCTCTGGAGCGCTCGCTGTCGGCAGCCCCTCACTTTGAGACCTCTCCATTAATGCATGTCCATAGGATCCTGTTTGTGGATGTGTGTGTATTTCGGTGTGTAAGCACTACACACAGCCTGACTTACTGACGCACGCACGCATACGAGAGAGACTTTATATGTGTCATGTGTGTTTCCCCTAATATTAAAGAGTGTCTTTCATGCGAACAGTCATCTTCAGGTATTTCACTGTCTCTCACACACACACACACACACACACACACACACACACACACACACACACACACACACACACACACACACACACACACACACACACACACACACACACACACACACACACACACACACACACACTCCTCCTCCTCCTCCTCCTCCTCCTCATCATCATCATGAGTTAGCTGGTGTTGTGGTTTATCTGGTGACCGTGTTAACTGATGACCTTCCGCAGAATGCCGCAGTGGTTGTCATGGTTACAACACTCATTAAAAATCTAAAGAAGGATATTTGGACTTTTAGGTTTAGCTGTAATACCCTGCAGACGGTCACCAGTTAGCTAACACTCCAGCACACAAACCGTCTCCGGTTCTACGGACCCGAACCCGCCGGTAAACTCACCGACTCCCGTCGAATAATCCCGGCTCTGTCCCGAAGGAAACCCCGCTGAATTGTTTTAGTTCCGTTAATTTAAAGAAAATGTATTTTCTGAAGTTTGGTGAAAGTTTGGAGCGACGAGAAGAACACAAACACCGCTGCCTCTCTTTTTCTTCTTCGTTGGTTTAAAGCTCGGTGTTTGGTGAACACTGCCCCCTGCTGACCGGGTGTTTTAGATTTTATGTGTTTTAACAAAGTGTTGTACATGAATGTTTTTTGTTCTTGTATTCAAACGTTCATATCACGGATGAAGAATGCATTAGATTGATTAAATAGACAAGTTTCAGAAAAACAGTAAATATGACTCATTTATGTTTTACACCGCCATCATCCAGTCTGTTCTCTGCACCTCCATCACTGTCTGGTTTGGATCTGCAACCAAACTGGACAGAAACAGACTGCAACGAACTATAAGGACTGCAGAAAAAAATCATCGGTGTCGACCTGCCCCCCATCCAGGACTTATACCAGTCCCGGGCCAGGAAACGGGCAGGCAGTATCACTGCAGACTCCAGTCTTAGTCTTTTCTTATTATGTTTATTGTTGATATTTAATGTTGTACATGTACATAAGAGAGCACAGTTCACCAAAGTTAAATTCCTTGTGTGTGTAAGCATACCTGGCCAATAAATCTGATTCTGATTGTGATTTATTTTAACATTAGTCAGTCCTTCTTTTTCCGACATCTAAACTAAATCTTTCTGTAGATGATGGTGGATGTGTGTCTCGGACTTCTATGTGTTGCTGTGGTAACAAACAGATGTCAATGTCGTTGGATTTTCATCAGAGTTGTGGTCATGACGACCCTCGAGTTATTGATCACAAACATCGTCTTATCACAGAGAGCGACCTTAAGAAACGTTCTTCAGTTCTGACGTTCACTCGTCTTCAAACGGTGGGAAAATTACGAAGAAAGAAACGTTTGTGTTTTGTTACATTTTTATTTTCACACATTAACAAACATTCAAACTGTGCAAATGAAACGATGAGTCAGTGAAATCTGTCAGACCTCAGAGGAACTCCCACAGGCAAACCATACTGGGAACCAATACTGGGACACACTAGGAACCTTGACTGGAAACCAATACTAGGACGTATTGGGAACCTTTAATGATGCATACTGGGAACCTGTACTGGGACATATTAGGAACCAATACTGGGACATACTGGGAATCTTTAATGGGAAATACTAGGATACTTGGACTGCACAAGACAAATGGGAGATACTGGAAACCTTTAAATGGGACATATACTGGAACGCATTGGGAACCAATACTGGGACATACTGGGAACCTTAAATAGGACATACTGGAAACCAATACTGAGACGTGTCGGGAACCTTTACTGGGACATTCTGTGAACCTTTAATGGGACATTCTGTGAACCTGTACTGGTACATTCTGTGAACCTGTACTGGGACATTCTGTGAACCTGTACAGGGACATTCTGTGAACCTTTAATGGGACATTCTGTGAACCTGTACTGGGACATTCTGGGAACCTTCACTGGGACATACTGGGAACCTTTGATGGGACATTCTGGGAACCTTTACTGAGACACACTGGGAACCTTTGATGGGACATTCTGGGAACCTTTACTGAGACATACTGGGAACCTTTGATGGGACATTCTGGGAACCTTTACTGAGACATACTGGGAATCTTAAATGGGACATAATGGAACTTTTTATTGGGACTTACTGGGAACCTTCACTGGCACAAACAGGGTACCTTTACTGGTACATACTGGGAACCTTCACTGGGACAAACATGGATCCTTTAATGGGACATACTGGGAACCTTTAAGGATGCATAATGGGAACCTTAAATGGGACATACTGGGAACTATTACTGGAACTCAACTGGTTTCCGTTATCATGTAAACTGGTGGGAGCCTTTATTATGTTTGGAAACATTCAGCTGAATAATAGTTTTTGGTTTGTGTGTAAGTGTTTGCTAGTTTGACACTTCTAAATATCATGTGTTTTAAATATGATATTTTGATGATCGATTGCATCAAAAAGTACCAAAGTTTGATGAGACAGGTGTGTAGGAGAGGAATGAATCCATCACAAATGACAAACAAAGTTCTTCAGAATAAATAGTTTGAACTGGATGTAGTTTGATGATTAAATGCATTTTCTCTGGGTCTCTTTATACTCTGGGTCTATACAGTTCCTGGGGTCTGTTCTGGTTCCTGTGGTCTGTCCTGGTTCCTGTGGTGTTACCTGGTTTCTGTGGTCTGTCCTGGTCTTCGCAGTGTTCTGAGCTCCTCTGTGGCTGAAATCAATATCCCAGCATGCCTTGGTAAACAGGTAATAAACAGGAAGTAAAGCTTGATGCACAGCATCAGTAATGAGCAGCAACAACGTCCTGCTGCGGCAGCCATGTTGGCTCTGAGTGATATCACCATGGTGATGTCATGGTACCACTGATCCATTCAAACACACACAAACTTCTCTGTTGTCCAGCAGCCAATCAGAAGAGGCCCCGCCCTCCGGTCTCTATTAAGTCCACTCTAATTGGCTGCTTCCTGTCTGACTCTTCTTCTCTTCTGTCTGTGTCGCTCTGATGGACGAGCCTCCTCCATCGTCTCTGATCCTTCCCATCATCCTTTGCTCTGCTGGGTGTGGACAGGTCAGCTGATCTCAGACCAGCCGGGTCAAAGGTCAGAGGGGTCACAACATCATGGCTCAGGAAGATCAGAGGTATCCACGGTAACCTGCAGACCAAACCAATCACAAAAAAAAGCAAAAAAAAACGAATGACTTTATTGACAAAAAAGACCTCGGCAACATATCTGCTACCCTCATCAACTCGTCCTTAAACCTCATCGACTAGTCCCTTCAACCTCATCAACTAGTCCTTCAACCTCATTGACTAGTCCTTAAACCTCATCAACTAGTCCTTCAACCTCATCGACTAGTCCTTAAACCTCATCGACTAGTCCGTCAACCTCATCGACTAGTCCTTAAACCTCATCGACTAGTCTTTAAACCTCATCAACTAGTCCTTTAACCCTCATCAACTTGTACTTTAACCCTCATCAACTTGTACTTTAACCCTCATCAACTTGTACTTTAACCCTCATCAACTTGTCCTTTAACCTCATCAACTAATCCCGAAACCTCATCAACTAGTCCTTAAACCTCATCGACTAGTCTTTAAACCTCATCAACTAGTCCTTTAACCCTCATCAACTTGTACTTTAACCCTCATCAACTTGTACTTTAACCCTCATCAACTTGTACTTTAACCCTCATCAACTTGTACTTTAACCTCATCAACTTGTCCTTTAACCTCATCAACTAATCCCGAAACCTCATCAACTAGTCCTTAAACCTCATGGAGTAGTCCTTAAACCTCATGGAGTAGTCCTTAAACCTCATGGAGTAGTCCTTAAACCTCATCAACTAGTCCTTAAACCTCATCGACTAGTTCTTGTTAACATAAACCACAGCAACTAGTCCCCAGATCTCTACAACTAGTCCCAGACGTCTTAAACTCGACCTCAGACTTGTCTTTACCAGTTTTCTCTAACCAGTCCTGGGACTTTGTAAACTCAGATCTCTGAGTTCTGCAGGTCTGGGTGTTTCTCCCGTACATGATGTTTTTCTTCTAAATGAATATTATGGGATCTACATGAGAAGACAAGGAGCAGCATGTGTAGCGGGTCGTCACCTTGATGAAGATGGTGTCGTCTTTGATGTAGCTTCCTGTCTCCAGGACGCTCTGAGACACAAACAGAGGACAGCCCGACGCAATGTTCATCTCAGCCACCGGGCGTCTGAAGCTGCTGCTGTTTGGATCGGGCTTGAAGGCATCACCCAGGTGTTTCCTGGTCGGACCCTGGTCCATCAGCATCAGAGTCACCTGAGAGGGAGGGAGAGAGAGGGAGAGAGACAGAGAGAGAGAGAGGGTTGTCAGGGTTCTTCAGAACTGTAACATCCACGATTTCATGTTGTCTCAATCTAAAGCTGTAGTCAGGAAGCCATGATGTGATTGGGTAAAAGAGTTTCATATCTTTCAAACGCTTGCCTGTGGCCCCGTTACAGCGAGAAGATTTGGGGAGGCATGGCCCCACCCTGTCCATGTCTACAGCCAGTTCTGATATCGATACCTGTTTGATACCATGGTACCAGTATTTGGTAATTTCTTATTTTAATAGAGATGTGATGGAGAACCAACAGGTTGGTTAGCAGTCAGTAAACCAGTCAGTACCTTCTGTTTGAAGGGCCATGGCAGCAGGGCGTCGTACTCGCCCCTCATGACCACGAAGAACAGTGATAGGTGTGTCCCCTTGCCCATCCCGTCCCCGTTCAGGTAGACACGGGCGCACATCTTGTACCCGAAGTATCCCGTGTAGAACGGCTGCGAGTACAACGACAGAGTCTTTGCAGCCACCGCTTCCTGTTTCCGCCTCTTGTAGTCGCGGATCTTCCAGATCAGAGTCCCATTGTAGCTCGCTGTCTCCAGCACCTGAAATCGCAGGTCCATGTCGGCCAATCGGATCTCGTGTACACTCAGCATGTCGTCCTGTCGCTTCAGCTGAGTCTCCAGAGACGCTGCAAGCAGAGAATGTTTATGATTACCCATCAGGTGCCTAACATGTAAGTTGCCGTGGTAACAAACAGGTATCAGTATAGTATCACAGATTAATATTCTGGTATCGTGGCAGCCCCACTCGTGGGTTTGTGTTCTGACCTAGCGTGTGTGTGGATCCTGTCCCGCCGCGCCCTCCTTGTTCCAGAGCGTTGAGCCTGGTCCACACGTTATCAAGTGTTCCTCGCAGGTTCTCCACCTCCTCTCTGAGCAGACGCAGAGACCGGAGCTCCAGCTCCACCTCCAGCAGCTTCTCAGAGTGAGAGCTCATTAGTTTCTACAGGGAGACACACGATTGGCCAGTCGGGTTTAGGGGCAGGGCCAGTCTTTGGTTTCATTGGTTACCTCAGTGATTCTCAGGTGGAGACATAAACCCTTTTCACACATACGGAAATCTCCTGTAAAACTCCGGAGATTTGGCTACCTGGAGAGGCTTTAGGCTATATGTGAACGCAACCAGCTGCATTTTTCGCGTGGACTTTACCCGGAGTTTCTCCGGCCAGACACCTAGTATTTTATCCGCAGAAAGTCCGAGTGAGCTGATGTCTGAACACGGCAGCATATACTCCAGAGATTTCAACTCGAGCCAATGGGAAGAGAATGACGTTTAGATACAGTGACTGTTTAAAGTGTCTGCAAGCGAACACTACGATCTCCGTGCACGCAATTAAACGGCAGCATTATGTTTTCTGTTCGTCAGTATGTTGTTCTCCTCTCTTTTGTGGATGTTGTCATTCCATTGGATTACACATATCATAGTAGCCCGTGGTAGCCCGTCGTGTACCCCCCCCCCCACAGGTGAGCAGTGATAAGCTGGTGTTGGTACCTGCATGGTGGCCAGTTTCTGCTCCATCTGTCGGTTCTTCTCTCGCAGCTCGTCGTTCTGATTCTCCAGCTCGGACAGACGACTGTTCAGAGCAGGAAGCACCTTGTACCTCTCCAACAGCTCCCCTTTAACATCCTCCACCTGGACACACACACACACACACACACACACACACACACACACACACACACACACACACACACACACACACACACACACACACACACACACACACACACACACACACACACACACACACACACACACACACACACACACACACACACACACACACACACACACACACACACACACAGGTGAACTCCTGCAGGGTGAACCCTACAGTTACCTCACACTATTTGAGATTATATTTGACTTGATACAGTTTTAAAGGAAGCGTGTGCAACATGTTCTCCATAAATATATCTGAGATCAAGTCTATCCTGTGTAAATGTCTCTCTAAATCATGACTGTCGACAATGAGTGAGAAGCTTGAGTCCCGCTGGCTGTGTTGTTGTTAGCGCCGTGTTTACATGGACGGGACAGCTTGCAGCTCGAGTAAAGGACACTTTTGTCCGCCGCTTGTGCTTAATGGTGCTTAATTACTATTAATCATTATGATTTAAAATAAAACAGTAACAGCCAAAGTCTTCGTTCTTGTAGCAACAGAAAGTTAAGGCTTCTGTCCGTTTGTTTGTTCTAGTAGACTTTGTTACGATGTTGAAAAATTGTAAACTCAAAGGGCTGATGTGGTTGCTATGGTTACCTTCTTCTCTAACGTGGAGTTCCTGTTGGCCATCATTCTCAGGTGTTCAGCTGCAAAGGTGGACTCGTGCTGCCTCATCTCCTGATTCAAACCCTGACACACAGAAACGCTCGAAACGTTCAGTGAACACATCAACATACACACACAGTATACTGTACACAGGAGGAGGAAGAGGAGGAGGAGGAGGAGCATGAGGTGGATGAGGACAAGGAGCATGAGGAGGAGGAGGAGGAAGAGGAGGAGGAGGCAATGAGGAGCATGAGGAGGACGAGGAGGAGGAGCATGAGCAGGAGGTGGAGCATGAGGAGCATGAGGAGCATGAGGAGCATGAGGAGGAGGAGCATAAGGAAGAGGAGGAGGAGCATGAGGAAGAGGAGGAGGAGCAGGGGTGTTACCTTGAAGGTGCAGCCGTAGCGGTGGAACTGACAGGTCACCTGAGCTTTGGGACAGTCGTGTTGGTGATTGGAGAGCTGAAACATGAAAGAAGTCTTTAACACTAACAGGTAACATGGGGCTCAACAGGTGAAACACTGACACAGAAGTGAAGTGAGCAGCAGTCATCTAATTGGACGGCTGAAGACGGGCCGGATCGTACCTCACTGCGTGGCAGAGAGGAGAAGGAGCAGTGGTTTGGACAGGAAACGGGGAACGCTGGACACACCGTCTCTTTGTGTTTCTGAAAAAAAGACCAATTTTATCAGATCTTTTATTTGTTGCCCTCGAAAAGGTGGAGGAGTGTTCATGTTACCCTGTTATCCTCACTCTCCATCACCAAACAATTTGAACTCCTTGCCCTGAAGCTTGAATTCTCCCATGGCCAATCTCTCACAATTATAGGTTGTTATAGACCTCCCTCTGCCTCCCCTGAAGCCCTAACCTCTCTTGCATCTTGCGTGACTGGGTTTAATTCCAGTGAGCTTCTTTTGGTTGGTGATTTAAATCTTGACTGGTTGACTGCCTCGTCTGATAATCTAAAAGTTATCTGTGACTCACTAAATTTAACTCAATTGATCAGTTCCTCAACTCGGCCCAATACTAAAAACCCATCAAAATCTTCCTTACTTGACCTTATCTTAACAAACGCTCCCCACAAGTACACGGATACAGGTGTGTTTGCAAATGACCTGAGTGATCATTGTACCATTGCAGCTACAAGAAACTCCAAGCTTCCAAAGTCAAAGCCCAATATTATATGCAAAAGAGATGTTAAAAACTTTTGCATCTCAGCTTTAACACACGATTTAGCTGCCTTTGAGTGGAGTAGAATTGCTCTATTTGATGATGTAGAGCTGGCTCTGGAATACTTTATGATGAATTCCGACATATTGTCAATAAACATGCTCCTTTTCGAAAATTTAGGGTAAAGGGGCCGAAAAAAATCCCTGGTTTTCCTCTGATATTGGAAACCTCCTCAAAGAGAAAGACATTGCTTGGGCCAGGGCTCGGAAAACAAAGACAGAGGTAGACTGGCTCAGCTTTCGCCAGCTTAGAAATAAATGTACTTCCCTTATTAAGAGTGCTAAGTCTGACTTCTACTTAAATGAATCCATAAAAAATATAAATGACCCTAAAAAAATTTGGCAAGTCATATAATCTTCTTCAAATCATGTGACAACTAATGACTTACCAAGTTCTTTAATTACTCAATCTGGTACACTGTCTGATAAGACAGACATATTAAATTGTTTTAATGATCATTTTATTTCTGCTGGATCCTTGTTTGAGTCACTAAACCCTGAACTGACAAATGCTGGTCTGGCTAGTGTTAACACACCCTTGACTCCGCAGGCTGTGAGTGGACCCATCACTTGCCTGTTTGAGTTTACGTCTGTATCTGTCACTGAGGTAAACAATGCACTAAAGAGGCTGGACACAAGTAAAGCAGCAGGACCTGATAAAATTGAACCATTTTTCTTAAAGTTGGCTGCTGATTTTATTGCTGAGCCTCTCTTACATATTTTTAACCTGAGTCTTACCAGCAACAAAATTCCTAAAATCTGGAAGTCGGCCTTTGTTCTCCCCCTGTTAAAAGGGGGTGAACCCACAAATGTAAATAACTATAGACCAATTTCAAAAGTGTGTATTTTAGCTAAATTGTTTGAGAGGATCATCAGTGATCAACTAAAGGAATTTTTAGAATCAAATAATATTTTATCTCCTCTCCAATCTGGCTTTAGAAAACAGCACAGCACTGTTACAGCTGGGCTGAAGGTCCTAAATGTTTTAATTGAAGCTCTGGACAGCAAAAAATATTGTGTCGCTCTTTTTATTGATCTTTCAAAAGCATTTGACACAGTAGACCACAACCTGCTGATTCAAGCCTTACATCACACTGGCTTATCTAAACATGCAGCTGCCTGGTTTGCCAACTATCTATCCAACAGAACACAATGTGTTCAGGTGGCTGAAACTACCTCTTGCTTTCTGGACATTACTAAAAGGGGTGCCCCAAGGTTCAGTGCTGGGACCCATTTTATTTTCAATCTATATAAACAATCTCTGTAATAACTTGTCAAATGCAATGTATCATTTTTATGCAGACGACACTCACTCACTCACCCAGGCTTTTGAGTTTTTACAAGCTGCTTTTAATGTTATCCAGTCTAGTTTATATGATCTTAAATTGGTTTTAAACACAGATAAAACCAAGCTCATGGTTTTCCCTCATACAAAGGTGCTACCACAGAACATTACAAATACTGTAACATCTAAAGGAAAACCTATAGAGCAGGTTTTAAACTACAAGTACTTGAGTTTTATCCTAGATCAGGAGCTTTCATTTAAAGCTCATATCAATAATCTGGTCACTAAACTTTGCATGAAGCTTGGGTTCTTTTTTAGAAATAGAATCTGCCTCTCTCTCAGGGTCAGAAAGAAATTAGTGACAGCGACCTTCTTGGCCATTCTTGATTATGGGGACCTGCTTTATTTGAGTGCGTCATCCAACTGCCTCAAGTCCTTGGACACTATTTTTCATTCGGCACTGAGATTTGTCACTGGCTGTAGTCGTCTCACCCACCATTGTGAATTGTATTTGAAATCGAACTTGCCTTCTTTGAGTGCACGCAGATACGCACACTGACCCTAATTTATAAGGCTCTTTTAGGCTTGATTCCTTTATATTTGTGTGCTTTATTGCAGAGAACAAGCAGTCGCTATGCCCTGCGTTCTTGTACTACACTTGTTCTATCTGTTCCTTGGGTAAGGACTGAATCAGGAAAAAGAGCTTTCAGCTTTGCTGCCCCCTCGGCATGAAATACTCTACAGACTGAATTAAAACTCCCTGAACTTATTCCACTTGGAGCTTTCTGTTCTATCATGAGGGACAGACAGTGTGAGACCATTGAACAGTGTCTGTGTTTTTAAAATCTTAAATTGTTGTTTTATTGTTGTGTCACAGCTCCCTCACTTTCTTTTTTTATTGAAAACACTTTGTTGTTAATCTGTACTGTCACTTCATTGTAACTGTTCTTATGACATGTGCTGCTGACCTCTTGGCCAGGTCACCCTTGTCAAAGAGATCCTGATCTCAATGGGTTTCTTTATCTGGTTAAATAAAAGTTAATAAAAAAAAAAAAAGATAAAAACATCGAGATGTTATTTTAACACCACTCAAGTCCTCCCCAGTTCTCTGCAACTAGTCCCTGACAACTGCAACTGATCCCTAAACCTCTGCAACCCATCCCTGGAATACTGCATTCTAATCTATGACCTATATCGGATCCGCATCCTCATCTAGTCCCTAAACTCTGAAACCTGTCCCTGTCCCCTGAAGTTCAGTCAGAAGCGATGTCATCACTCACCTGCAGGTCAGTCAGAGGCATCTTGGTCAAGCAGAACTCACAGCCGGTCTCTCTGTGTTTACACTTCCAGTTCAGGTGGTCAGGAATCTCTTTCCTCATCATTCGCTCCTTACATTTACCCAACGGACAGGGCACCTCGAAGAACGGACACACATTCAGGTGGTCCTGCAGACAGACAGGTGAGACACGCACAGGTGAGACACACAGGACGGCTGAGGCGCTGCAATAGAATCACACCTGGGGGATATTTATAACTTTAAACCTGTTTTTCCTTTATTGTTCTAACCAGTGATTAAACTTTAACTCAGTTTAAAATGTAACATTATACAGGACTTTTTACAGCCAATCAGACAGCAGGATTCTCTGTTGCTGTGGTAACAGTGTATAATGATGATGCTCTCACAGGTATCTGTTGCAGACTCATCTGCTCCTGACAGCCGTTAGCTTCACTGCGACAGAAAACCTTCAGCGCCATGATCTCCCGATGACAGCAAACGTCTCTAAAGATCTGAAACACGAACACCAGAGCTTTAATAGGTAACCAATTATCCACCAATAATCAATGACGTCATCGTCTCTGTTGTGATGTCATTTCCTGCCCACCTTGTCTTTGAACAGAGGCTCCATGTCAGCTGGGCACACCGGGTTTGAATGACTGAAGGAGGAGAGAAGAGTTACTGATACACCTGAGGATGAACACACCACTTTACCTCACGACCTGAGGCACTTACACCTGTTGTAACATCACAGGTAAATATTCTAAATGTGTCATAGCACAGTTATTTATGTAACTGTGTTTCCATTACGTTGATCAAGTCACACAGGAGGACAAAGTGTGATCACCTGTACAGAGGTGATCACACTGAGGATTGTGCACTGAGGACACCAGAGCACAATGACCTTTAGCAAACATCTGGGACCACTTCCCATCTACCTGTCTCTCTCTGTCTCTGTGGATGTCTCACCTGAGGATGTCGTTGATGCAGCTCTGACAGAAGCGGTGTCCACACTCAGTCTGGCGCGGCTGACACAGGACCAGCCTGCAGGCCTCGCAGCAGTATTTAGCTTCTGGAGTTTCTATAAAGTGATCTCTGAATCCTCCATGAAGAGGCAGAAAACCTGCAGGAACACCTGAACAGAGAGAGAGAGTGGGAAAGAGAAATAGGGTGAGAGAGAGGGATAGAGGAGAGGGAGAGAGCGAAAGAGAGAGGGTGAGCGTATACCTGAGTTTATTCATCCTTACTGTGTTTGAAGTCAGAGTCTGAGAGAGCAGCATCTAGTGGACATTAAAGGAACTTCAGCTCTAAATTAAACTTGCAGCTAAGGAGGGAGCTGATTGGTCCTTTAGCTAATTAACTAGTACAAATCTAAGCCAATCACAGATCAGGGTTTGCTGGTGAGGTGTGATAGGTGTGTGTGTACCTTGTGAACTGTTGGGGTCGTTGGGAGGCCAGGGATTGACTGGCCGATGAGAGGGCGGTGGGATGGGTGGGACCACCGAGAGGGGCGTGGCCATGGAGGGTGCCACCTGCTGGAGGGGAATCTGCACCTCCCTCCCGTCAGCACTCCTCCCTGCTGACATGACCTGAGGGGGGACGAAATGTGGATGACAATAATGTAGAAACAAATGAATAAATATTGATAAAAGTGATAAAATCTCTGAACCCTGTCTGCACATGCTCAGTGGAGCAGAGGGGGGTGGCCTAGGACTGATCCCCTCCCCAGGTATGTTAAACATTATGTTGAAGTTGAGCTTTAGTATCCTGTGTGTGATTTTTCCGAGGATTTTCAGTTTCATTTTGCTTGGTCTTCACTCTGGAATCAATCAATCATGAGGCAGAAAACTCCCGCTTACTAAAAGTGACCTTTTCATGTTTTCTCGTTTAGTCGGGTCTTTGAAGCACCGAGAGCAGGAGCGCCTCCTGGGATTCTGGACCTCTCCAGAACAGCTCACACACACACACACACACACACACACACACACACACACACACACACACACACACACACACACACACACACACACACACACACACACACACACACACACACACACACACACACACACACACACACACACACACACACACACACACACACACACACACACACACACACACACACACACACACACAGCTGATACACACACACACACATACCTACACACACAGACACACGCAAACATCTGATACAAACACGGACAAAAAACAAAATCACTTCCTGTCAGGGCTCAGCTGTGGGGATGCTAGGGGCTTTTCCAGAGTCTGCATCATTAACACACACACACACACACACACACGGACACACCACTTACTGTGTGTGACCTCATCACAGACTAAAGGACGGACTCTGATTTCTGACCAAACTTGAAGTAAAAAACTCCAGCTGATTTATTCTTAACAAAGACGAAATGTTGAAACTTTAGTCTTCTAAAATCACATGTTTCTTAACGATCTGTTTTTTAAAGTCTGAAATCTAAACACACCAACGCTTTAATATAACCTTCAAATGTTCAGCGCCGTCTAAACGGCTCAAACATGTCAAAGCTGTTTTTTAGACAGCGTGCAAGAGTGAAGACAATAAATGACCTGATGTAGGGTGGGTGAGACTTCTAGTCTTATTGCCATGGTAACAGAGAGTTTGAGGACAACATGTAGGTTATAATAATTCAAAATCAAGTTCAATTTTGTTTTAGAAACACAAAAACATTAAAGACGCAGAGTTTAACCTGGTCGCCATGGCAACCAGGAGGAGAAAACTCTGTTCCTTGTGAGAGTGTTGCTGTCATATGTCACTCAGGAAAACACCTGTGTGATGACCTTTGACCTTAAGAGTCTGAGAGGTTTTGAAATGAGACGAGGTCTCACTCTGACTCTGAAATCCTGACTGAGCTGTCAGAGCGGCCGTGTGTGAACGCTTCACAGAAACAGAAACTGTTTCAGCTCACTGCAGCAGAGGGGGGTTTCCTCTAAGTCACACCAGCTGATACACACATACACACACACACACACACACACACACACACACACACACACACACACACACACACACACACACACACACACACACACACACACACACACACACACACACACACACACACACACACACACACACACACACACACACACACACACACACACACACACACACACACACACACACACTAGGCAATTTGGGCCGTGCCAGAGCGCGCTTCAGCCCTAACGTCCAGTTCATTTGAGTAGTGCTCAAGCTCCGATCCGTGCTCAAGCTCCGTACACTTCCTCGGCCCTGGCACGATTGGAAGAGGTGTGTACACGGGAACACAATGTGGACAGCCTTCATTATGGAGAAATCTGTTCTGGCTGTATCTCAACATGACTCAAAATAAGACACAAAGTCAGTAAAGCAGCTGTCATGTTCTCTGTGATGTTCTCTGATGTGCAGAAGCGGACTCGACCCTTTTATTTTATTTGATCTTATTTTTATCAAGTCCACCTAAAAGTCAGAGTTGTGAACACGCTTCATGATCACGTTATGTACAAAAGGTAACCGTACTCACTGATGAAGGAGGCAGGGGTAATCATGCTTAATTATGGTACAGGACGGCTGGGTCGAGTGCGCCCTAAGTTCTTCTTAAATGAGAATAAAAATTAAACACAAACACAAAAATAAAAACACAAAAATAAAAGAAATAAAGACTCGAAGCTACAATTAGCTGCTGCTAACTGTGCAACTTCTCACTCCACGACTGAGGACGACAGAGGACGTCTGAAGGCGAATGAGGACGTCTGCGGATGAATGAGGATGACAGAGGGCGACTGAGGATGAATGAGGACCTCTGAGGACGACAGAGGACGACTGAGGACGACAGAGGACGTCTGAGGACGACAGAGGACGTCTGAAGGCGAATGAGGACGTCTGCGGATGAATGAGGATGACAGAGGGCGACTGAGGATGAATGAGGACCTCTGAGGACGACAGAGGACGACTGAGGACGACAGAGGACGACTGAGGAAGACTGAAGACAACAGAAGAGGACTGAGGAAGACTAAGGACGACTGAGGGTGACAGGACGACTGAGGATGACTGAGGACGTCTGAGGATGACAGTGGACGAATGAGGACGACATAGGACATCTGAGGATGACAGAGGACGACTGAGGTTGACAGGACAAATGAGGATGACAGAAGACGTCTGAGGACGACTGAGGACGACAGAAGACATCTGAGGACGACAGAGGACGACTGAGGAAGACTGAGGACAACAGAGGAGGACTGAGGAAGACTGAGGGTGACAGAGGACGTCTGAGGACGACTGAGGACGACTGAGGGGACAGAGGGCATCTGAGGATGACAGAGGACTACTAAGGACGTCTGAGGGCGACAGAGGATAAATGAGGACGACAGAGGACTAATGAAGACGAATGAGGACGACAGAGGATGAATGAGGACGAATGAGGACGGCTGAGGATGACAGTGGATGACAGAGGACTGCTGAGGATGACAGAGGACGTCAGAGGATGACAGAGGATGACAGAGGACGACAGAGGACGACAGAGAACGACTGAAGACGTCTAAGGACAAGTAGTTTATTAAAAGTTTTGGAACTTCATCATTCCACAGATCATTGAAATAACAGATCGTTTAAAAACCCGAGCTATCCGATACATCTTCACCCTTCACGTCTTCCAGTCAAACGTCTGACTTCTGATTGTGTTTCTGCTAAAGTTTCGTTGTGAGTCTGTTTCCGTTCTGAGATCAGATCACCTGTATTGATCTCCCAGGGGAGGAGGAGGAGGGTAACAAACTGAAGTGAAACTTAACTCTTGGACATGTAACCACATCATCTTTTTGTCCCTCCTGTAGATCCATAGTTCACACAGGTTGTGGTTTGATGTGATCTGAAAGTAACTGCGCTCTCTGAGGAGACCCTTAACACATCATCAGCCACAGAAACACACCTGTGCGTTCTCTGCGTCGCCTGTGCTGCGTTCACTGACAGAGATTTTCTGTTTTAGTCTCAAATGACTCAAATAATTTTTCTGTGATTAAGAATGAAGCTCAGCGAGTTTCTGTTGGTCGACTTACTGCTCAGTCGTCTCGTTTCAAACACTGCACAGAGTCGTCCTGAGTCCTGATTGGACTGTTCAAAATACCATCCTCCAATCAGACACGAGGTGGTTAGAGTTTAAAACGAGATGACCTCCGTTCATTGGATGTCTGATAGTGTTTTAAACAGAACCTTAAAATAAAACTCAGGCTGCAAAAGAGAGAGAGAGCTCAACCAGGGCTGGTCCAGCGAGCTAGAGAGAGGGGAAAGAGAGAGCAGCAGAGGAGCGACGTTAATGAGAAGCTGAACATCTTTGTGTTTCGTTGATGAACGTGTCGAGGACAGAAAATGAACCATGACGACAGCTTCGTCCTCCTGGTTTTATAAATTGCCTGTCGGCTTTAATGTTTCTTAAAATACGAGAATTTGAACTTTGAAAAGATTCAAGTTGATATAAAAACATTGCTCATGTCGGGTTAGACATCCTGCACAAATAACATGCTTTAATTAAACTCTGCAACTCGTGCACGCCGTCCATCAGAACAGGGGAGACATGGAGCAGCTCATCAAAATGTTCTAAAGAAATAGATTTAAAAATAAATTTGCTGAGAGCGGTGTGCAGGAGAGAGACGAAGGCATCAAAAAATGAAGACAAACGTCAGCAGAAACGCTGCCAATGTAGTTTTTCTGCAGTTTTTGAAAAGTAAAAGTAAACAAATCTTCAGCTGATTGATCTGAACACTCCAAGTAAACGTTCAAAGTTCATACAGGACGAGGGAGAGAGAGAGAGAGCAGAAAGAGAGAGAGAGAGAGGGTTGTCAGGGTTCTTCAGAACTAACATCCACGATTTCATGTTGTCTCAATCTAAAGCTGTAGTCAGGAAGCTAAAAGAGTTTCATATCTTTTAAACGCCTGCCTGCGGCCCTGTTACAGCAAGAAGATTGTCCATGTGTACAGCCGGTTCTGATATCGATACCCATTTGATACCATGGTACCAGTATTTGGTCATTTGTTATTATAATAGAGATGTGATGGATCCGGTCTGATATCGGGTCAGATGCAGTTTACACGTCGATATTGGACTGACGTCAGCGATGAAGAACAATCATTGGTCACTTTAAAGCTTCTCAGCTCACACAGTCTCGCTTTGAAGACGTTCACAACTGAACTGTAAGAAGTGTCCACAGATCATCTCCATGACGACGTTCAGACTGTAAAGGGACTTTCTGATAGGACGCGGTGGGCGCACGTTGCTAGGGGACAGAAACGATAGTCTGGAAAAGTAGCTTGTTGGATGTGCAGTGTTTTTGTTTCTGTCCACTCTTCAGTAGAAAGCTCTGACCTCTCTCCTGCAGAGGAGACGAGCAGTGAAGAAGAAGAAGAGGGCGTGGCTTCATGAAATCCTCAGAACATGACAGGATGTGGGAGAGTCTTGGCTCGTCTAGGAGCTGCAGTTCTATAACGAGCGCTTCACACATTTCGGCTGCTGTTGGAAACACGCCTGGTACGCCGAAACTGTCCGACATCTTCACAAACTAGAGCTCTCTCCGATGTCCCAGTAGGTCTTTAGAGCTCAGGAAAGAGGGACATCGTTTGTTGACACCTGATCTTCCCTCCGATTGGACTGCGCTGAGGTGACATCACGGAGCACTGCGCCCAAGATTTTTAAACTTCAACGCAAGAACGACGAGCTTTAACACAAGGTTCTATCTGAACCACTTCTCTTGCCCGCTTCCATCACTGCAACACCTGTTGATTTGACCTGATAACTACTCTCATATCTGGCAAACCGAGGGGCGTCCAAAACGGCCATGTAGGGGTGCCTTAAAACCGCCTACCTTCTCTGGTCCAAACAAATCCAGAGCATTCAGGACCAGAATCTAAAGTTAGAAGGAGGACATACTGGCTGCTGCATTGTTGTCAGAGAAGCCAGCACTTCAACATATCATGTTTCCTTAATGTCTGATCATATAGTAAGGTCACTTTATCATTTCACTCACTACACATCTCACTGACTGGACCTTTCATTTACTTTGATATCCTTATATACAAACAGAGAGAACTCGGGGTGCTGATGTCATCTCACAGCTCTACATGATGAGTCTAACACAAAGAAAGGCTTTAATAAATACAATAACAACATCTCCCTGTCAGTGAATATCAAACCATAAATACGATTATAACAGTGAGAATCATCAAATATTCAGAAAGATGAAATAAAACGTTTGTTTTCTGATCACTCTTGAATGAATAATTGCTCCTTATATAAGGACATATAAAGCGGATCTTTACGGTTTAAATTCACTCTGAGTTTGATTATTTAGGTCTGACTGTAGTTTTTGTATCCTTTGTGAGATTAAACGTTAGCTGCTCTTCTAGTTATTGATCGATTATTGATCATTAATTGATCTTTGGCTCGATTTATTCTGTCTGTGAATCTGTAAACACACTCAGCTCGTGCTAACACTGTTAGCTTCTTTAGCTTCTTGTTTGTCTATTGTTTGTTCAATAAAGATTATTTTAGTTTAAACACATACACACACACATACACACGCGCACGCGCGCGCACACACACAGAGCTAGCTGTAGCATCTGTAGTTCTTCCCTCGATTATAGGCTAATACAAACAGCTAACATGTTCTGTTAGCATCTGTGGGTTCTCTAAGGGTTCTACTGAGGTTCTGCTGAGGTTCTAGTCTCTGCGGGACTCACATGAATCTCCTCCGCAGGCCACAGCTCGGCTCAGCTCGGCTCGGCTCGGCTCAGCAGCTCCTCGGCTCGGCGGACTCTCTCCCGGATTCAAACCGTCGACCTGCCGCTCCCGCTGCCTCGGAGCCTCCAGGCTTCAGGCGGACTCGTCATGGTCCGGGTTCGTGTTCGGGGTTCGGGTTCGGGGTTCAGTCGGTCCGCTCTGTGAGGGAGAGTCTCTGGGATCCAGTTCACAGATCCAGCGGAGAGGACTAGGCTGATCACACTGGAAACCCCCTCCGCTGCTTCCGCCCAGGAAATCCCCCAGCTGCCCGGAGACCCAGCCCACCAGCAGGGGGCGCTGTTTACCTCAGGCTGCCCGGAGACCCAGCCCACCAGCAGGGGGCGCTGTTTACTTCAGGCTGCCCGGAGGGAGAGCTTTATGTTTCCGTCTGTTAAATAAAGTTGTTGGTATGCTTGTGTGCTCGTGTATTACTTTCTTTTTGTGTAAGGACCTCCTTGGAAATTAGATGGTACATCTGAAGGAGTTAACCTTTATTAAATCAATTCAAATTAATTAATTCAGATTAAAACATCAATTAAAGGGTTAACGTCTGGGATCAAAGAGTCACTCAGATTCTGAGGTCGATATAAAACTGGAGAAAATCAGAGACTGGGAAACATTTAGGATTCAAGTTGAATTTGATTTATTCTTTAGCCCTCAGTTTAATTTATTCATCATCAGTGATTCGTTCTTTACTTTGGTTCAAAGAGCCCTCTGTAGTTTAGTTCAGAACGCTGCTGTTAGATTTGAAGTTGATGACTTTGATTGAAATAAATGTTAATCTGTAAACATCAAATTTAAAATACTTCTGAGTTTTTTATTTAAAATTAAATGTGTGTTAAAAGAAACAGACAAATGAGGAAGAAAAGTCATTTATTGATGAACTTTGGTTTCATTATCATTTCTCTAAAAAGGTCCTAAAATCCCAGAAACATGATGACATCATCAGGACAGGTAAGGTCCCCTACCTGAGTGACATCATCCAATATGGCTGCTTCAGTTGACCCTACCCTCAAAAAAAGCCACCTCCATACACAGGAAGACAAATAAAGTAAAAGAAAAAGATCCAAATAAAACAGTTTGAAACTAGAAAAAACAAAGGAAATAAACAGGTCCCACCCACTTTGATTGACAGGTCAGCCTGTTTCCTGATTGGTCCAGAGCAAGCAGCGATAAAAGGTGACAGTTCACGCCCTTTTACCTGATCAATAAAAGTCACACGTCCTGATAAACGGAGAAAATATAAAATAAACACATGATGACATCATCAAACCAGGGGGCGGGGTCAAAACGTCTCAGGAGGCCAGGGGCTTCTGGGATTCCACTGGAGAGGATGGGTCCTGCTGAGACCAGAAACACAGTTATCTACCTGCAGACAGAGAGTATTCTGGGATCTGTAGTCAACATCAGACCTTCTCCTCACCTCCTTTGTCTCCTTGGTGGGAAGCTCTTCTTCCTCAGGACACACCTCCATCTTCTCCTCCATCTTGTCGTCTTCTCCACCCACGACTCCGCCCTCCATCCCGTGTTCAGCCTCCCACTCCTGAAGAACCTCGTCCAGGTTGAACCGCCGCCTGTAGTTCACCAGGAAGTTCTTCACCTGAACCACCGACTTGTTACCTATCACATCTGAGATCGCCTGGAAGTCCCGCCCATACTTTCTGATGGCTGCATGTCATTGGAGAAAGGGAGAGTCACCGACCAATCACTGACTGAGGTTTAATTAAATCAGCAAAAGTTTCTGATATCAGGTTCAGGTGTGTGTTCATCTGGTTGCGGGTAGTTCAGGTGTGTTTTCGCCTGGTTACAGTTAGTTCAGGTGTGTGTTCGCCTGGTTACGGGTAGTTCAAGTGTGTGTTCGCCTGGTTACGGGTAGTTCAAGTGTGTGTTCGCCTGGTTACGAGTAGTTCAAGTGTGTGTTCACCTGGTTATGGGTAGTTCAGGTGTGTGTTCGCCTCGTTACAGTTAGTTCAGGTGTGTGTTCGCCTGGTTACGGGTAGTTCAGGTGTGTGTTCGCCTGGTTACGGGTAGTTCAAGTGTGTGTTCACCTGGTTACGAGTAGTTCAAGTGTGTGTTCACCTGGTTACGAGTAGTTCAAGTGTGTGTTCACCTGGTTACGGGTAGTTCAGGTGTGTGTTCACCTGGTGTGTGTTCGCCTGGTTACGGGTAGTTCAGGTGTGTGTTCGCCTGGTTACGGGTAGTTCAAGTGTGTGTTCACCTGGTTACGAGTAGTTCAAGTGTGTGTTCACCTGGTTACGAGTAGTTCAAGTGTGTGTTCACCTGGTTATGGGTAGTTCAGGTGTGTGTTCGCCTGGTTACGGGTAGTTCAAGTGTGTGTTCACCTGGTTACGAGTAGTTCAAGTGTGTGTTCACCTGGTTACGGGTAGTTCAGGTGTGTGTTCACCTGGTGTGTGTTCACCTGGTTACGGGTAGTTCAGGTGTGTGTTCACCTGGTTACGGGTAGTTCAGGTGTGTGTTCGCCTCGTTACAGTTAGTTCAGGTGTGTGTTCACCTGGTTACGGGTAGTTAAAATGTGTGTTCACCTGGTTAGGGGTAGTTCAGGTGTGTGTTCACCTGGTTACGGGTAGTTAAAATGTGTGTTCACCTGGTTAGGGGTAGTTCAAGTGTGTGTTCACCTGGTTACGGGTAGTTCAGGTGTATGTTCACCTGGTTACGGGTAGTTCAGGTGTATGTTCACCTGGTTACGGGTAGTTAAAATGTGTGTTCACCTGGTTACGGGTAGTTCAAGTGTGTGTTCACCTGGTTACAGGTAGTTCAGGTGTGTGTTCACCTGCTTACGGGTAGTTCAGTTGTGTGTTCACCTCGTTACGGGTAGTTCAGGTGTATGTTCACCTGGTTACGGGTAGTTCAGGTGTGTGTTACCTTGTACAGCTAGAAGCTGCTCCTCTGTGGTCCAACGAGTGTTAAACTTCTGATTCACCTGAAACAAAAACAAGGGACAGGTGAACACCAAAAAACAGCTGTGATTTCAGGTAGGGTTTTGCTGTGTTACCATGGTTACCTCAGGTTGTCTGAAATCGTTGACACCTGAACTGAGTTTCTCTTTCAGAACACCGTTTGACTGTTTAATTGTTTGGATCTGAAACACAGGAAGAGAGAGACATGTTAGGAGGGAGAGACAGGTGAGGGCAGAGAAAGAGAGACAGGTGAGCAGGCAGACAGACTGGTAGACGCACCTGTCTCTTGATGGAGACCAGCTGACAGTCCAGCTGTCTGATGAGTCCCTGAGGAGACGCAGAGGAGAGCGAGACCACGTCCTGCTGGTTCAGAAACATTCCCCGAGGAGGACGTTTCTTCAACCGCTGAGACGCCTTACTGCCCATCTACAGCCACACAGAGAGAGGGAGACAGGTAACTATCGCCTGACTGAAAGAGAGACAGGTAACTATCGCCTGACTGAGAGACAGACAGGAACCTATCACCTGACTGAGAGAGAGAAACAGGTAACTATAACCTGACTGAGAGAGACAGGTAACTATCACCTGACAGACAGAGAGAGAAACGGGTAACTATCACCTGACTGAGAGAGAGACAGGTAACTATCACCTGACTGAAAGAGAGACAGGTAATTATCGCCTGACTGAGAGAGAGAGACAGGTAACTATCACCTGACTGAGAGACAGACAGGAACCTATCACCTGACTGAAAGAGAGAGACAGGTAACTATCACCTGACTGAGAGAGAAACAGGTAACTATCACCTGACTGAGAGAGAGAGACAGGTAACTATCACCTGACTGAGAGAGAGACAGGTAACTATCACCTGACAGAGAGAGAGAGTGAGACAGAAAACTATCACCTGACTGAGAGAGAGAGACAGGTAACTATCACCTGACAGAGAGAGAGAGTGAGACAGAAAACTATCACCTGACTGAGAGAGAGAGACAGGTAACTATCACCTGACTGAGAGAGCGAGACAGAAAACTATCACCTGACTGAGAGAGAGACAGGTAACTATCACCTGACTGAGAGAGAGAGACAGGTAACTATCACCTGACTGAGAGAGAGAGACAGGTAACTATCACCTGACTGAGAGAGAGACGGGTAACTATCACCTGACAGAGAGAGAGACAGGTAACTATCACCTGACTGAGAGAGAGAGAGAGAGACAGGTAACTATCACCTGACTGAGAGAGAGACAGGTAATTATCACCTGAACAAGAGAGAGACAGGTAACTATTACCTGACTGAGAGAGAGACAGAGAGAGAGACAGGTAACTATCACCTGACTGAGAGAGAGACAGGTAACTATTACCTGACTGAGAGAGAGACAGAGAGAGAGACAGGTAACTATCAACTGACTGAAAGAGAGACAGGTAACTATCACCTGACTGAGAGAGAGACAGGTAACTATCACCTGACTGAGAGAGAGACAGGTAACTATCACCTGACAGAGAAAGACAGGTAACTATCACCTGACTAAGAGAGAGACAGGTAACTATCACCTGACTAAGAGAGAGACAGGTAACTATCACCTGACTAAGAGAGAGACAGGTAACTATCACCTGACAGAGAGAGACAGGTAACTATCACCTGACTAAGAGAGAGACAGGTAACTATCACCTGACAGAGAGAGAGAGACAGGTAACTATCACCTGAGAGAGAGACGGGTAACTATCACCTGACTGAAAGAGAGACTGGTAACTATCACCTGAACAAGAGAGGGAGCGAAAGAGAGAGAGAGAGAGAGAGAGAGAGAAAGACAGGTATAGATCAGGTATATTTACCTTCAGTCCAGCTGGTTTGACCTCTGTCCTCTCTGGTCCAGAGCTCACCTGAAACAAAAGCAAAGAAAAATAAAATCAGTGAACAGTCGGGTTCATGGTCTGGTTCATGGTCTGGTTCATGGTCTGGTTCATGGTCTGGTTCATGGTCCAGTTGAGACCAATGATCCCTGCAGCATGTACTGGCTCTGCTCCAGGTTCTCCTACCAGGTGGGTGTACCTGGAGAGGAGCTCCCAGGTGCGCAGGTGGAGACTCTGAGGGGAAGTTAAAATGTGCTTTACCTCCTTCTTCTCCTCTTTTTTGGGATCAAACTCGGAGTCACTCTGAGGGTTTACGTGTCTGTCTTCAACTTCTTCGTCACTGAAACACAGAGTTCAAACTTTAATGAATCCTCCAATCAGGACACAGCACTCAGGTTAGGACAGTACCTGTCACAGAGGATGTCTGTAAGGTTTCACACCTGGAGTGTTACCTGTGGTGTCAGGTGACCTGTGATGTCATGTTACCTGTGGTGTCACGTTACCCGTGGTGTCACGTTACCCGTGGTGTCAGGTGACCTGTGATGTCACGTTACCTGTGGTGTCACGTTACCCGTGGTGTCACGTTACCCGTGATGTCACGTTACCCGTGATGTCACGTTACCTGTTGTGTTGTTAAAACTAATTTGACCTGTTTTGGTGTGTTGAGTGTATCTTGTGTCTGACGTTACCTCAGGTGTTACTCCACCTGAAATCTAAGCTGTGTTACCTGTGCAGGTTGCAGCTCACCTGTCGTCTCTCTCTCTCTTCTGCTTCCGTGTCTGTCGATCCATCAGACTTGTTTTACTGCGACTTTTCTTCCACGAGTAATAAAACCGAACCAGACTGGCCATCGACTTGTCAGGTAACTACAGAGAGAGAGAAGGACTTTAACAGACACACCTGTACTGGTCCCAGTCACATCACTGTACTGGTCCCAAATACGTCACTCTACTGGTCCCAGTCACATCACTGTACTGGTCCCAGTCACATCACTGTACTGGTCCCAAATACGTCACTCTACTGGTCCCAGTCACATCACTGTACTGGTCCCAGTCACATCAATGTACTGGTCCCAGTTGTGTCACTGTACTGGTCCCAGTCACAGCAATGTACTGGTCCCAGCCACATCAATGTACTGGTCCCAGTTGTGTCACTGTACTGGTCCCAGTCACAGCAATGTACTGGTCCCAGTCACATCACTGTACTGGTCCCAGCCACATCACTGTTCTGGTCCCAAATACGTCACTCTACTGGTCCCAGTCACATCACTGTACTGGTCCCAGTTGTGTCACTGTATTGGTCCCAAACACGTCAATGTACTGGTCCCAGTCACATCACTGTACTGGTCCCAGTCACGTCAATGTACTGGTCCCAGTCACGTCAATGTACTGGTCCCAGTCACGTCAATGTACTGGTCCCAGTCACGTCAATGTACTGGTCCCAGTCACGTCAATGTACTGGTCCCAGTCACGTCAATGTACTGGTCCCAGTCACATAATAAACTGGTGTTAATGTGGCGTACCATCTGCTGGATGCGGTGGAAGCTCTTCCCGTGAAAGCTGAACGCCTGCTCAAACAGAACTCTGTCCTCCACCGTCCACTCATCAGGAAACGGTGTGAAGTTCGGAAGATCAGCCAGAGACTTCTCGATGTTGTGTTTGTGCCAGAAGAGCATCCCCAGGGCCTGCAGACAGACAGACAGGCTGTGAGACAGACAGACAGACAGACAGACAGGCTGTGAGACAGACAGACAGGCTGTGAGACAGACAGACAGACAGACAGGCTGTGAGACAGACAGACAGACAGGCTGTGAGACAGACAGACAGGCTGTGAGACAGACAGACAGTTGACCTGCTCCATGTTGTATCCGTGCTTTTCTTTGGCGATGGCGATGTATTCGTCCACTGGAAACAAAGACACGTTCAATGTAATTCTCCTCCTGACCACACGTCCATCATACTGGTTTATACATTCCTTCATATATACTGGTTTATACATTACTTCATATATATATGTAAAAACTGGTTTATAAATGACATCATGGACTGGATTCATGTGCATGTTTCTTACACTGAGTCTGGTTCAGACAGCTGCTGGGGATCCACACCAACATGCCCAGGTTCTCTCTCAGGTGAGCTGCCTGGGCCACTTCTGACACACACACACAAATACACACAAATTAAAGCTGCGCCGTGTTTTATTACTACGATATTATGAGAAAGACAAACTTCAGACAGCAGAGTCACATCAGGAGAGGAATTAATCCATCAATAATAACCTGCACTCCGTTTAGCGTGCACAGCCGTACCAAAGCGTTGCCAACATGTGTGCAATTAACCTGCAATTTATCATAATACAACCAAGACATTACTCAAATATTGGTGCCTAGAACTGATGTTTGCCGTGGTAACAGACTTGTTTTGATAAAGACGTTGGTCCTCAGTCTGCGAGCTCATTTGTGTCATTTTGGTGTTTGTAACGGTTAGTTCTCATCACAGACTGTAAATATGAATGTATGAAGCCTGAGTGATGTCACCGTCTGTTCCTGCAGGGGGCGCTGGAGTCCCATCGATGGCGGTCTCCATGCTGGAAATGCTGTCTCAGTCTAACTTTCAGTCAACATAACAACAGGCTGGGAGCTGAGGCGGGTTTGAAGCCTCCTGACAAACCGTTACACCGCGCCGCCTGTCAATCAGGTCAGCTACACGCCTTATTGTGACTAACTCTTATTCTTCATCAAATCAAAACGGATGAGTCATCAAAACATTCACCCCCCGTACAGTGTGTGCTGATCGAGACATGAGCTAATCAGATCTATTTGTTTTTTTGAACCAGGCTGTAAACATGTTAATCTCTGCTGTAAAAACAGGCTTTTTTCAATGGTGTGTGTATGTGACTTCCTGTGCTTCTGCAGCCAGCCTCTAGTGGACACTCGAGGAACTGCATGTTTTTACATTTCTGCTTTATCCATTCATATTATAGTGGTTATAATGGTTTTCCCTTAACAAAAGAGTGCCAGACAGCGCAGTGGTTATGTTGCACGCCCTGTGTACAGAGGCTATAGTCCTCATCGAAGCGCCTCAGCCCTTTGCTGCAGGTCATCCCCCCAACTCTCCCCTCCAAACATCTCCTGTCTCTCTTCAGCTGGAAACACAGAGTCAATAAATATACGGATGCTTTTTCTGGTAAAGGCGTCAAAACAACAATTGTCTATCTTTGGTGTTTCTTTATTCCTTTGTTCTGTCTCTTCTGTTTAATGCTTTCTTACAGAATATATTTGTTCAATAAACTAAATCAAACAGAGAGCGCAGTGTGTGAACATGCTGTGTGAGACTTTATAATAAAACCAGTCTAAACCGGACTGTAGATCAGCTCCAGGATCAACAGTGAGAGGGCTGTTCACTGTAGAAATACACACAGTAGAAGTGACCTGTTATAGATCTATAGGCTGTAGAAGATACGCTGTATTTAAATATGTTAACAGTTGAACGTCTCCTTTACAGAACTGGAACCAGTATAAAACGTGTACTGTAGAACTAGATCCAGTTTCAGAGGATCAGAACCAGTCTGAGGGCTCTAACCAGTACACTGGTCTTCTGTTCTACTGTTGTTCGAGGCTACCTATCCACCTCCAGGCTAACGAGTAACAATCAGGTCTTACCCGGGTCAAAGTCCGGAACAACGGCCTGGTACTGCGTCCCGACCCGCATCCCTCCTCCACCTATAAACACACACACACAGCAGAGCTCAGTAATAGTACACAAGAGTACACAAAAGTACACAGCAATACTTTAGTGATCGAGGCTACCCACCATGCTCCTCGTCGCTGCTGGAGCCTGAACTTCCTTCTTCCCAGCAGTTGTTCGTGCTGGTTCCATTACCGGACAGGCTTTTTCCGCCGGTGTTCGCTGCTGCCCCGGGGCCGCTGCCCGCCGGGCTCTGCCTCTCCGCTTCCCTGAGCCTCCGGGTTTCTCTCCAGCATCGCCGGCATGACGAGGACGGAGGCAGCCCGGGCTGTACGCTAGCTGCTAACTAAGGCTAATTGTTTGCTAGTTAGCTTAGCTGCCCCGCGCACAGAACCGAACCGGCTAACTATCACCGGAGCTAAGCTAACAGTCCTGTCCGGAGAGCAGCGGGGAGGTTCGGTGTGAAACAGACTCTCGGAGGAGGAAATGATCCGTGAGATGAAGCTAACAGAGGCTAGTACAGCTACAGCGGAAAGATGCTAACAGTTAACCTGAGACTAAAGCTCCTCACTGAGTCCAAAAAGTTCCGGAACAAGCTGCCGGAACCAGAAGGAACTAGATAAAACCAGACCAGTACCGACAGACAGACCCACAGACACCCAGAGCAAAACTATCGATAAAAACTGAAGGAAACTGATCAGAGATCAGTCAGTGTGAGGCTGATCGATCCCAGAGGAGGAGCGTGTGTGTGTGTGTGTGTGTGTGTGTGTGTGTGTGTGTGTGCGCGTGTGTGTGTGTGTGTGTGTGTGTGTGTGTGTGAGACCTCAGCTGCCATCACACGTCACATTAAAACATCAAACACTGAAATAGTTATAAATTAATAAATGAATCATGTGGACTGGATTAAACAAAATCACAGTTTACCAGTATGAATAAAGATCATGGCTCTGATGAAATGTTAGTCTTCACAATAATATTTATTAATAATAAAAATATTAATTTTATCAGTTGCTTTAAATAACAGAACTGAAATGGAATAAAGAAATACGAACCATAGTTTCTAGATGTATTCATCTACAGAGTAAATAAAATGGGACTGAGCTGTGTCGGCAGCTCAAGGTTAGCAGAATAAAAGACAAAGTGTGGTATCATATCTCATCCTATAATATCTGTTCATATCGTTTAGAGTCGCATCATGCATCATCATGATTTGATTTTTAACTTCTATTTTTATTTTTAATAATTATATTCCCGTCCCCTGTTTTCTGGAGCTGCTGTAATGCACAAATTTACCCCACGGGGGATCAATAAAGTTTATCTTTATCTTTGTCTTTATCCTAATGGAACCTATCTGCATCCTCCAGTGGTGAATAATGACATTGATGCTGTGTGTAAGTGTAAAACCCTGCAGTTCCTCGAGTGTCCACTAGAGGCTGGCTGCAGAAGCACAGGAAGTCACATACACACCCATTCTAAAAAGCCTGTTTTTACAGCAGAGATTAACATGTTTACAGCCTGGTTCAAAAAACAAAATAGGTCTGATTAGCTCATGTCTCGATCAGCACACACTGTACGGGGGGGGGGTGAATGTTTTGATGACTCATCAGTTTTGATTTGATGAAGGATAAGAGTTATTCACAATAAAGCGTGTAGCTGACCTGATTGACAGGTGGGCGCGATGTAACGGTTTGTCAGGAGGGCTAAAACCCGCCTCAGCTCCAGCTCTCAGTCTGTCTGAAAGACTGAAAGTTCAGTAAAGTTCAGAAAATTTCCAGCATGGAGACCGCCATCGATGGGACTCCAGCGCCCCCTGCAGGAACAGACAGGTGACATCAATCAGACGCCTTTCATTGGCAGAGTGTAGTGGGTTGAGGAGTGTAGACCTGGATTATAGAGTTTAGGAGAGGAGGAGCCGTTTTTGTCGCTGTTTTTTAAACGAGCAGCAGAGTTTTAAATTTCAGCAGGAACTGGGAGTCAGAGGAGGGAGAGGAAGTAGGTTGAAGACCAGTCGTGCTGCTGCATTTTGTTTTATCTGCAGGGGTTTGATAGTGCATGTAGGAAGACCTGCCAGTAGAGAGATGCAATAGTCAATGCATGATATCACAAGAACCTGTACCAGGAGCTGTGTAGCGTGTTCTGACAGGTAAGGTCTGATCTTCCTGATGTTGTACAGGGCAAATCGACATGACCGGGCAATCGAGGCTACTTGAACCTTAAAAGTTAGCTGGTCATCAATCATGACACCCAGGTTCCGGGCAGACTTTGTGGGCATGAGTTTGGTTGTTCCAAGCTGGATATTGATCTGTGGTTGCATAGAGGGACTGGCTTGAATGACAAGGAGCTCAGTCTTTGAAAGGTTGAGATGAAAGTGACGTTCATTCATCCATTTAGAGATATCAGCAAGGCATGACGAGATTCTTGCTGACACTGTTACATCGTCTGGCCGGAATGACAGGAGGAGCTGGGTATCGTCAGCATAGCAGTGGTATGAGAAGCCATGAAAGCGGATTATTGAACCAAGTGAGCTTGTGTATATGGAGAAGAGAAGGGGACCGAGCACAGAGCCCTGAGGTACCCCTCTCCCTTCCAAGACACTCTAAAACATCGCCGGAGAGATAGGACACGAACCAGCAGAGGGCAGATCCTGAGATGCCAAGTTCAGAGAGCGTTGATAGGAGGAGTTGATGGTTGACTGTGTCAAAGGCAGTAGACAGGTCTAGCAGTAATAGAACTGAGGACTGACCCGCAGCTCGAGCCAAACGTAGCGATTCTTTTCCTGACAGTAGTGCAGTCTCAGTAGAGTGGCCCAGCCTGACCGATTTAAACAGATCACTTCTTGACAGGAACTCAGAGACTTGATTAAAGCTCTTGAGTCCTATGTGATGTCATCATGTACTAACAGGCTGTAGATCAGTTCATCTGTCTGATTGACTGTTTGCTTGTTTTTTAAAATGTGTGCAGTTACAGTCAGTGAACAGCAGGAGGAGCTCTTCAACAACTCAACTCACTGACCTCAGAAATGGAAAAAGAACAATTCATGTGACAGCTCACAGCTGTAAGATATATGTTCAAAGATAAAAAGTCAACACATTTTAAACAGAGGCAAAAATTTAAAATTATTTAATAGATTAAAATGTTAAACTAAGAAAGACTTAACTGATCAGTGTGTGCGTGCATGTGTGTGTTTTTAGCAGCTGACTGTAAACATATCTTTGTTTCCTATATATCGACACACACACACACACACACACACACACACACACACACACACACACACACACACACACACACACACACACACACACACACACACACACACACACACACACACACACACACACACACACACACACACACACACACACACACACACACACACACACACACAGAAACAAAGATACACTGTGTGAAAGTTTGAAGTCATATCAGTTATGAGCAGTCGATCAGAATCAAACCGACAGTCAACTTCATGACTTTATTACATAAACTCCTTCAGTCACTTGAAGGCCGCTATGTTCAGAATGTGAGACACTTGATCCGCAGACCCGGCCCCCAAACAAACAACCACACATGGAGCTGAAGTGGCGGGAGCAGGGGGAGAGGCGGTGCTAGTGTCTGTGAGTGTGTGTGTGTAGAGGCAGTGTGTTGTGGGTGGGAGGTGAAACTATAAAAGTGTACTGGAGCTGAGGTTGGAGGTTTGAGTGAGAGTCCATCTAAGACCGTGCAGGCTGAACCAGCATCAGGATTAGTCCGTTTGGAATTTAGTCTTTCAGGTGGATCTCCAAGACTCTCCCTCAGACCTCAGAGACTCTCCCTCAGACCAGGAGTATCTCTCCAGGTGACTCAGGGTGTCATCATGCCGTGGGTTCTTTCCTCTCAGATGGAGCACCTGTCTTCGTCTCCATCTCAGCGTGAGTGCGAGCGGACGGCGTTCTCGTTTTACTGTGCCGTTCGGGAGCAGCTGCCCGTGTGGCTGCTGGAGGACATGAGGTGCATGGAGGTTTTCTGCTGGGAGGACGGACAGCCGAGAGCGTTCCTGCCTTCTGAGGCGCTGCTCTACGCACTCGTACACGACCACCAGGACTATGCACGCTATCTGCTCAACAGGTACTCAGTGAGCACGCTCAGAGCCCCACGCTGTAGCTTCTGTTGTTGTCGTAACAACGGCGCGCCACACCTGTCGGTGGCGGTGCGGTATGACCGTGTGACGATCCTCAGCATGATGATGGAAGCCCTGAAAGACTGCGACATCCAGAGTGAGTGGAGACACTACCTGGACAGCTGTGGCGGCTGCTCGCACGTGGCCGACTCAGGAAAGACGGCGCTGCAGTTGGCAGTGGAGCTGTCGCGGCCTGACTGTCTGCTGTTGCTGCTGGTTCATGGAGCTCAGCCTGATGGCCTTGACCTTGCACTGCAGCGACTCGTATCCTGCGACCCAACAGAGCGACGCCACGCTCAGCGCTGCCTCGACTTCCTGCTTCTGTTCTTACCCAAACCACTGGCACTGAACTGCCTGCAGGAGGAGCCGCAGCGCTGGCAAAGCCTTCTGGGAACTGAAGTGTTTAGCTGGTTGTGTGGTCTGTCTCCGCCCCCCCTCCTGCTGCAGTCTCTCAGGTGTTTAGCCCGGTCTGGTCCGGATCAGATCAATGCACTTCCAAGCTTCCTGCAGCCACACAGCTGGCAGTGACATCATCTGTCACCATGGAAACACACAGTAAATACCTCAAGACTGCTGTGATTGGAGGGTTGTTGATGATGTAAATAAAATGTAAATACAGTCTGAAGAAATGTGAACTCTCAACAGAGATAAAAAAAAAAAAACTGCTGAGTCAGCGTCCACAGACAGAAACCTGGTGTCTGCATGCAGTCTTTGGGACCCTGAGGAGACAATACGAGGTCTGACCTCAACCCGGATCAGACTTTAATGACTCTTTAAATCGTTTTCTGTTTATTGGTCAGCAGTGAAGTTTTTCTTCAAGTGACGCTGAAATAATCTTAAAGGACATTTTGACCTCCAAAGGTTCCCTGGTGAGAATATTTAACGTTTGTTTGAACATGTTGACTGATGTGATTGTGTGAACATGTTTCTACCTCAGCACGGACTGAATCTCTGAACCCAACAGGACACATCTTCAGCTTCCTGTTTTAACCACAGAAACATCAGTTATGAATACAGACAGACCAGATTGATTGTTTGAATCTCATGTGAATGAACATTTACCCAAACAACCAAACAGCTGATGGAGAGGCAGAGAGAGTCTGAAATACTGAGCCAGCATCCTGAAGCTCTAACCCGCTGTCTTTGTTTTTCATTCAGCGTTGAACTTATCGATCATATTGATCGACCTCCGCTGCTGGACACGCCTTAGATTATAAACCAATCCATGCTCTCCGTAGGTCTCCTGTGTTCATGAAGGTTTGGAGATGAATGTCTTCAGTACTGTTTTTGTCTGAACTCTCTGACCTGTGAATGACTTGTCGATAATTACCTGTAAATAAAACATATATATCATAAAGTGTGTGCCCTGAGTAATGTCTGCAGGTAAACTCAGGCTGACTACAGACCACTGAGGTGTTCACAGGCATGAGCAGGCCTCGGTCAGTCGTTCAGAGCATGGCCAAGCTTCCATATTATGACTGAAGACTGATTAGGTTTGTGTGTGTGTGTGTGTGTGTGTGTGGTGTGTGTGTGTGTGTGTGTGTGTGTGTGTGTGTGTGTGTGTGTGTGTGTGTGTGTGTGTGTGTGTGTGTGTGTGTGGGGGGGGGTCTCATGATAAAGACACAACATCTGTGAGCATTATATTTTAATACTGCCCGTGTTTTCAATCTTGCTTTTGAAAAGTTGAGAGGTTAGAACCTCCAGTGTTTAAACAGGTTTATTGAGTTAATGGATGAAATTACACAGGTGAGTTTACACTGAATTCTTATCGGTCAGCAGGAGACAGCAGGATGACATCACAACAGCGGCACAGCTGCTCGGGTTGCCATGGCAACGATGTGAGCACGAGGAAGAGAGAGGACGACAAGTTTACTATTTCATCTTAGTACAGATCCAGTTCAAACGGGAGACCTGAACCTTTGCAGAGTCCGCAAGGGTCCACGAGGATCCACAAGGGTCAAATAAAGTCCACTAGAGTCCTCCTTAGTCCACCAGAGACCTCCCAAGTCCACCAGAGTCCAGGTTTAACTTTAAATCTCATATCAGATGAATGCTTTAAACTTGTTTGAAAACAAACACAAACAGGCGTTCATCAAATTTACATTTTTACAGTTTTTTTTAATGGATCAGTCCCAGTGGGCTGGTCAGTGTGATCTGGTTCCTGTCAGGGGGGCGGAGTCAATGCTGGAAACCAGTATAAACCGCTTTACAGTGGATTAAACTGGTTTATACTGGTCTCGACCGACTCGTGTACAGGTATTAAATAAGTATTTCAAAGATTTGAATATTTGGTTGTTGCTCTTGATAAATAATAAACTCCAGAAGATTCTTACTTCGTTAAATTCCCAGATTCTGGTCAAACAGTTTGAAATGTTCCTTTTTTATTTAGCTTGAAGCTGATTCTGCTCTGTGACCCATTAAGCAGAGTGCAGGATGAGCAAACCAGCACACAAGAACCAGTTTGAACTGGTTTTACTCAGTATAACCTACACTGATCCAGTAAAACCAGAACAAACTGCAGAAAAAGGTTCTGTGCAGTGAAACTTCCCTTTAAATCCTTTCAGAACTGGACTCTGGATTATACGATCCAGTTTGAGCTGGTCTGAACCAGACTAAACTTGATTTGAGTAAATACGTGACTCTGGACTAAAATGTCCCTTTAGTGTCTCAGACTAAACTAGACCGAGATAAAAACCTCAGAACGAGTTCAAACTAGCTGGATCCAGTCTAAACTGTGAACTGGTTTGAACCGGTTTAAAATAAATGTAAAATAATCCTCTGTAACAAAATGTCCCTTTAATTTCCTCATTTAGAACCAGACCAGGTTCATCAGACTCAACAAAACTGGGAACTCTGGAAGATTTCAAACTGGTTTGAACCAGTTAGAACCGGTTAGAACTAGTTTAAATGTTCAGATTTCCCTTTGCAGTTAATCGTCCCTTTGACGTCCCCAAATATAGTACAACCACACTGAACCCAATTATATCAAAATTGCCAGCTTAAGACCAATCAGAACCTGTTTGAGCTGATCTGAACCAGTTAGAACCGGTTACAACCCATCAGAACCAGTGAAAACCAGTTACAACCAGTCACAACCAATCAGAACCTGTTAAAACCAGTTAGACCTACACAGAAGCGACGCTGAAATACTAACAACCAGCTACAGCCAATCTACCAAACTAAAGCGGCCGGTTCCCGGCTGAACTTGAGCTTAGAGGTCAAAGTTTAGGATCAAGTTAGTTCGGGTTAGAACCGGACTGAACCAGATCAGAGGAAGTCAGTGCAGCTTTAGAACCAGTCAGAACCGGTTTATCGTTAGCCCAGTGTCCCTTCAGAGATTAAAGTGCTTCCTATTAGAACAAATAAAACACAGTTTGAGTTCACTTCACTTCCCAGCAGCCACCTGGGTTTCCTGTGTGGGGGCCATCTTGTTTAAGTACATTCCTCAAAAGAATTTAATTCACAGGAAGTGATGTCACCATCCCAATTAGTGTCAGGAAGAAGCCAGGTACAAACAGGAAGTATGTACCTCACCTAAGTAGGAAGTTTATTAATAAAATGATGTCACTATGACATCACAGCGTCCCTCCAGGTAAACCCACATCAGACAAAGTGATGTCACAGCTCAGATGAGCTCCCATTCGTCCTCAACGTCGTCTGCTGTGAGGGAGGGGCCCGAGGGGGCGGGCCTACAGGGGGTCTGTGGGAGGAGCTTTGTCAGGCGACGGGACAATCCACCAATCAGAGTCACCGCCCACAACTCGTCCTCAGGGGTTACTTAAGAGAGAGAGAGAGAGAGACCTGAGACAAGAACACCTGAGTCCCAGTCCAAACATATCCGGGGCCGTACAGAAGCACCTGTGCAAGAGTAAGGACCAGGACTCACCTGTAAACCAGTTGGCGTTTCCGGGGATCTTCTTCCAGTAATCCCCAGCAGGGTTTCTGTCAGAGACGCCGTAACGTCGAGCCAGGTCTCCGTTTACACACCGAACCCAAACTGTCCAAGAGCTCAGGACCAGCTGGCTGACAGCTAGACCTACAATACACACAAGAATACACAAATTGCTACACAAATACACAAATTAAAGTACACAAATAAAAAGTAAACAGCTACAATAATTCCACCTCTGTATGCCTTCAAAATAAAAGCTCTGTAAATAAAGTCTGTAAATATGACTGACTTTTATTAATTTAACCAGGGGCTAAATCAGATGTGAATGTTGTTGTTGTCTTTGAGTCGTCCTTTCTCGGTTCATTCAGGGAGGAAGCTTTGATTGAAACGGTGAAACTCATCTCACATGTTTAGATTGTGTCCTCTTGATGAAGTGTCAAAAGTTTCTCATCATCTTTATGTGGACAGAACTGAACTCCTTCAGCAAGAGAGCGCAGCTCAGTTAGCATGAGAGCGCAGCTCCATCAGCCTGAGAGCGCAGCGCCATCAGCCTGAGAGCGCAGCTCAGTTAGCATGAGAGCGCAGCTCCGCTAGCATGAGAGCGCAGCTCCGTCAGCCTGAGAGCGCAGCTCTGTTAGCATGAGAGTGCAGCTCCGCTAGCATGAGAGCGCAGCTCCGTCAGCCTGAGAGCGCAGCTCCGTCAGCATGAGAGCGCAGCTCCGTCAGCATGAGAGCGCAACTCCATCAGCCTGAGAGCGCAGCTCCGTTAGCATGAGAGCGCAGCTCCGTGAGCATGAGAAAGCAGGTCCGTTAGCATGAGAGCGCAGCTCCGTACATAATGAACAAGTTATGGATATATTAGAAGCTGCAAAACATTCTTAGATATTCAGGCCCTCTGCGTACTATACAACAGACAGGTGATCAGACAGACAGGTACCTGGCACCAGCTCCCAGTCCGTCCCCACAGGCATCTCGTCACTGAGTCCTGTCCTGACGAAGACGCTTCCTCTGTTGTCCAACGCCCAGAGGAGACGATCGTTAGGGCTCGTCTGAATGCTGACCAGCTGCACTCCTATTGGCTGCAGAGACATGATGTCACAGTTACCTGGACTCTCAGCACTTACGTAGGTGGTAAAAGAGGTGGATCTGGGGTCTCTCTCTTACCTGTGCAGGTGGATCTATCTGGATCCATGCCGGCAGCATCATGCTCGGGTTCAGAGGTTGTGTTCCCACTCTGAAGTAAACGACCCCTCGGCTGTCCACGGCCCAGACGTTCTGACTGCCACAGCTCACACTGACCAGACGCACACCTCCTGTAACACAGGTCACATTTCACCTGAGCACACCTGTACACAAAAGGACTGAAGCTTCAAACAATCTTCAGATCTTCAGTCATGTTTTTAAACCAAAGTTACCAAAAGAGGATTGTAACAAATCCCTGAGACAGAAAAAACAGAGACCCGACCGATAAAGGATTTTTGGGGGCCAATATCAATATCGGCCGTTATCTTTCCTAGATTTATGTTTGACCTGTAGAGATAGACAGATATAGATATACACATTTATTGTGTTGATCCTAAAAATGAAGTCATCAAATACGTGTGGAAAAGATTTATAAAAAAGACAAGATGGTCACTCGACTGGACTCTGGAGAGTGATGATGCTTGTTGTAATCCAAACAGCGCCATCTGCTGGTGACAGCCAGAAAGAGAACTGCTAGTGTAATAAAATGAAATGTTATTTGACTGGTGAATAAATCTAGTAATATTAGCAAGATCTGCGATAAAATTAGCCGATACAGATAGTCATTGGATAAGCTAATAAATTATCTGCAGGCCAATTTCTCGGTTGTTCTCTAATAAAAACAGTTGTAAAGGAGTTAGTCCAATGTTTTCTTAAATGCAGACATGAATTAAGTCTTTAAACTCAGGTAAGATTTCAGACTGAGGAACTTTCCAACACGAGGTTCTGTGTCACATGCAGCGCTGCCTAAACAAAAACATTCAAAGAGGTTACAGGTGAAACATGGGCGGGATCGAATGACTACTTCCTATTCCAGAGCAGATTCCAGGTCAGTCTGTGGGTACGTTCCAATTGCCATTTTTGCTTAGGAAGGTTCCTAACTGAGTGAAATGACCCGGAAGCATTTAAGTGGCGGCTAAAAGCTAAGGAAAGGTGGGTCAATGCTTCCTTTATAACCTCCTTTAGCATAGGATACACTGGACCATCCTTTACCAAAGGAGATGAGATATGACGCCCCACAATTCCTTGCGGCCGCAACATTTAAAGCGAGTTGCGCATCTGACCGTTCACGAACAATAACGATGATTGTAAAGTGACACAGATCAAGGGATAAAAAGATAAAAGACATTTTTATCCAGATCATGTTTTATTCAACATATTTCATTCACTTAAGAATGCTGTGCAGTTGTACATTTGTATGCTTAAAACATTATGTG